TAAACTTCAATGTTCTCTCCATGTTTTCCCTCTGTGCCAACCCTGAGTCTGAGAAATAAATGAATGAACATCACTCATTAACCTCAAATCAAAGTTTAATGAACCAACTGACTCTTGTGACTAAAATATATAGGCGTTAACAAAGTATTACACTTTTAAACTTCTTGTAGCGTCTCCTTTTTTGGGCAAAGATACATTTATTTACAGTGAACATTTAGGGTGTCTATGCATGACCGTATTTTGTACAACATTAGAATTTTTACATATTTTTATATCCTCTGACCTTAGATTATAATGAATGGTAAGCTACAATATAAATAAAACCATCTATTTACCCTAATGTAGTCAGTAGACTACTACTCTATTCTACTCCATTTCCATCAGAACTGGAAAATAATGGGAACAGATCTAGATGAAGAAGATATAATAAAAAGAAAGAGCCTAATAGTGGCAGAGGCGGTGTGTACGTTTGTGTGACCAATTCAGGATTCAGAGATACCAAGATTGTGAAGACATCTCTGTTGATGCTCCAATTCATTCTCATCCATGACATCACAGTTGTTTGCTGCTTTTTCCTTTGTCTTTACACTGAAAAAGTCCTTTTTATCCTACTCTCTCTCTCTCTCACCCTATTTCTGTCTATATATCTGAACAAATCATGGATATTGTGTGGTTAGGTTAGATTAAAAAGATATTGACTTTCACTAAACTCTACACAGGGTGTAATTATATTACTTTATAATGCTATAATTTCCCCCAAATTAACTCTCGGTCTTTATAATAGTCCTCAAAGATATTTATTTCAGACATGACTGAAAATAGGACAGCTCGGGGTTGCTGTGTTTGTTGTTTTCATTCACTTTATATCAGAATCAGAAATACTTTAATAATCCCATAGGGAAATTGCTATAAACTATAACTCATTGCTATAAGTTAGGAAACTATGCTATGCTAACCTCCGTACAAGTTACTTTAGTTTCAACAACATTTGCAAACAAATGAATGTCTTTTTGCTTCTTTACAATCTGAAAAGAAGGTCTTTTTTTTGTAGAAGATGAAGTCATAAAGAAGCAAAGTGATCAGATTAGCTGATTGACAGCCCGAGCCGAGTGGTCTACTTGATTCCTGGAAAAAGAACCACAAAGAATCTCAAATCACTACAGGGGTTATTGAGCATTTTATAGAGCTCTCTAAAAATCTATCCCAGTTTTGAGAATGATGGAAAGCAGTAATAATAATTCCAGAAAAAGCTGAATTAACAAAGTAAGAAGACGTATGCGCAAAAATTTAACAATAAATGTAATCAATAACAAATGCAGCCATTCAAACAATACCCTACATATGTTGTCCGCACGTATTTATGAGATCTCTTCTCATAATAAGGAGATCTTTTCTCATGATTACGACATCCCCATCTCCCGAGCTTTCCGATGCGTGAGTTTGACGGTGAAGAAATAAAATATAAAGGAAGGTGATAATGGGTTTCTGTTATTGAAACCCTGATATTCAGTGCATGGCTGTCATGCGTGATTGAGTTGTTATTGTTGTCAAGCGAAGATGTCGCAATTATCTATCTTTGTTTAGGGATCGAAAAGTTCATGTTGAGGTTCGACAAACGTATGAAAAGATTAGGTATTAAAACACAGCAGTTATTGTCATCAAAAATGGAAAAAAGGGCTACGTATCAACACACTGAAGATGATGAACACATGCTTTTCTGCCAAGAAGATATAAAAAAATTAATAAATGTTCAGGAATCAGTCGATCAGCTACTCGAAGATCAAACTTTATTTATTGAAACTGCTTGCATACAAAATATATTGCACTATAACCAGACATGTCAACCCAAACATCTTAAATGCGAGTAGTATGTACAAAAAACAAAAACAAACAAACTAAAGAATAAAATGCCCAAAAAGTGCACACAAGGTTTACAGCTTTTTCGACTTACCCTGGTTTAAGTATCTACAGATTCTCTGTGACTCTTCACTTCCTGGCAGTCTATCGTTGAACAGCCCAAACACTATACGTCCAGTAAGTATTATTTGATGTTATATACATTCTACAAAAAAAAGTGTCTGCCAACAGCTCACGATGACAAGCACAATTTTAAGTCTTCTTATCTTGGTTTGGTTCCTCATGAACCGTGACGCAAACCCGACGTGACTGAAAGCTTATTGAGAAGAAGAATGCAAAATGTTTCAATAACACTGCATAACATCTAAAAGGAAGTGAACTGGAACTTCCCAACAGCATTTTGGGAGCTTTTCCGCTCTGTCCTTTGTATGCGTGACATAAACTGTTCGTTACGAGTGTCTCACTTGGTGTTTTTCACATTTTTAAAGAAGAAAATCAAGGTTTCCGGACAAGGCTGGATAAGACAACACCGTGTTGTTAGGCTATTTTAAGAGAAAGATTACAAACCATCCACACAACATTAGCTCCAGCATTCCCTGTCTTTTTGAAAAAGAAAAAAAAAAACAGGAGAACACTCCTATTACTGTTATCTTTATGCCAAGAAACATGAAGCCTATTATACTGTTAAGGTATAAAGACCTGATTAAAAACTATATCCATTCTGTTATTTCAACAGATCATTCACAGTACTGATGCCAAAAAAAAGGTCCACAACGATAGACAAAACGTTCAACTTTCAAACTCACTAATTCACGTAGAAGACACTTCTTGGAGTGAGACACGAGTTTACAGTGATTCGCCATAACAAGGAAGCATTGCTCTTTTAAAATCCCTCAAGGTTTTATACATTTTGGTACTGAAAATCTACTTGACGGGGTGAAACGCGGGCCAAAAGCTCCCTCTTAGTCCTCGAAATTTGGATGTATTTCATAATGTGCAAAATGTGTCACTTGGGAACTTGATCCTAACTGGATAACAGACCTACTTCTAAATAAGGTTTTAATGACGTTTCCATTTCCCCAAATTTTACATATTTTGATGGTAATATCCTAGATTGAATTTCCTATGGTTGGTTGGAAGAAAATAGCATAACAATGTCACAGCTGGTAAGTCACAAGAGACTTGTAGGTACATTTTTCCTTGAGACTTCTGTGATCTGAAATGGTTGGCATGCAAGTCATTTTCTTGTTTTGTTTTTTTAAATAGCACTTTCCATTATCATACAAGAATTCAGCCTTTATTTAGCATTACAGATTGTTAGTAATGCCCCTAAAAATCCACCCAGTGGCTTTAGAACTCTTTAAAAAACTTCTATTCAAAATTAGTTTCCCGCAGTAAAAAAAAAAAAAAAAAAAAAGAATTTTAAACCTTGGGTTAAGAGGCACAATGAAACACAAACAAGTAGGATAAAGCACAGCCAAAGCCGGGGGGGGGGGACATCTGTTTCTTGTGTGAGACAACTTTGTATAGCATTAAATTTCTGTAAAGCCTTCCAAATTCTTCAAACCTGTACAAGGTTCTTTCTGTCTGTTTGACGCATACAGACTTTTGGATGATGAGCCTTTTCATCAGTACAAAAAGAAAAAGAAAAAAAGAAAAAGCAAGAGACCCTGGAAATTTACAATAATAATTATTCATCACTGTGTTGACCCCCCAAAAAGAACAAAAAAAACAACAAAGAGGCTGGCATAAAATGTAGGTGTCTGTACACAGGGAGCAAACAGATCCAGAGTAAAGTGTAAAGACCTCGAAATTAAAGAAAAAAATAAATTCCATCCCTAAGACATTACTTACATTGATTGTAATTCGAGGAAAATTTAACAAAAGGCGGAAACATGCAAGATAGTGGCCTAATGTAATCTATTCATGTGGAAAAGTAGAGTCAAGGAGCCAGGAAGTGGTTTGGCTAGTTTTTGTGTGAAAAGACTGATAGCTGAAAGTTTGCTAGCTTGGTAAAAGGCCCCTCACAAAACAAGCCACATTTCTTTTGATACAAGACAGCAAGATAGCAAGCTTCCGAAGAGCTGATGAGATGGTTTTAAGCTAACTTGACTTTAGCCGCTAACCCACCGACGTTAGCTAGCCGTTATCAAATTTGAGCCAATTACTGAGAATTTTAATCCGTGACTGCAACATGACTTTGTCACAATTGCTGAAAAGGTTTGAAACAAAAACTCGACTAAAAAAATTGGCCCAAAAAATGTCATCTTTTTGGTTATAATCTCAATAACTGTTTCCAGTCAACGGGATGCCGCTTAAAATCCTTAAAAGGTTACGTGACCTTCAGGTGGAATTGTTCTTTACCAAATTTAAACGGTCACAACTCATTCTTTGAAAATAACCCAAAAAGCAATCAAATAAGCTTCTAAGGTGTTTTTTACAACTTATTTACAAAGCACTTCGAGTGGATCCTAACAGTGACAGCATTTAGAGCTTTTAGGCAGAAAAGAATATAAATGCCAAACGCTCCTGCATAACCGCCATTGACTGTTTTTTGTTTTTTCCCCAAGTTTGTCATTAAAAACAAAATCAGGTTTTAGTAGACACAATAAAATGCATCTTTGATATTAAAATCCTCAAGAATAATGAATGTAACTTCAACCTTTGGTGCATATATCGAATACATTTGAATTACTGTACCTGTAATGAACACAAACGAATGTCAAATGCATCATTCATGTCACTGAAACAGCTACATGTTGCAAAGGACATATCTCATTAACATCAAAACACAACTTTCCTGAACGAAGCTTGGGTTCGAAAAGGGTTGCATGTTGGGTAGAAATGACCTTACATTCTCTGTGTGACGCACGGTTAATTTTCTTATGTTTCGGAGCACCCCTAGGCCTCTTGTAGTTAAAGACAAGTAGTGTGTGACTGGGTTCTGCCATGGAGGATACTACTTTTCTTCACGTCATGAAGTTTATTATCAAGAAATCTAGCATTAGGTGGATATTAAACAACAAAAGGAGGAAGAAAATATCAGGATAAGTGCACATTTGAAACAATTGTACAAATCTTTTCTCAGACAAAGGACATCATTATATACATTTTTCCTCCCCTCCCCCTCCCCCACCCACCCCACCCCACCAATACAAAGCAACTCTATAGTGTAGATGCCCCACTGACAATACAGAGGTTACCTCCATTTGACTAATTTGTTGATGCCCTGCACTGTATAGTAACTGGAAAAAAAAATACAACGCTGCTGCAGTTTAAACTGGAATTGAGATGGCGGATTAGTGATACAGAAATGAACACCCATAATACTAGTAAAGATAAAAGATTAATCTGTTCCACTGACTACGTTGATTGGTGTCTCTCTGAAAAATGCTGCTCATCACTGGTTATTGTAGCCAAACTCAGATAGAAGATAAATGAGAAAAAGACTGCTTTAGACAAAAAAAAGGAAGAAAAGCCAACAAAAAATCTTTCAAACATGGATCAAAATCTACTGAGTATTTTCAATTTTCGAAAACAATGTATGCGCCCTGAAAGACTAAAACAGTACAGCTCTCTTCTAATGTATGGACCTGGCTCAAGCTCACCAGTTTCATTTGTTTCTCGGTAGTTTAAAGTGAGAATGGGGGTGAGATAACATCTTAAATTGTGTAAACTGTGCAATTTAAATTAAAATCGTAAAAAGGGGGTGTACACGTGGGATTTAAGTGGCCAATCAAGGGTAAGTTGAACCAGGTCATCAGCTACAGGTCGAGCTACAAGCATATGTCCATCAACTGTACAGATACACCTTTAGTACTAACAATGGAACAGGTGAGTTAGCTTTTTTCCGAATGTGCCAGAACTTCCTGTCTCATAAAGTACGAATACTTACCCGTTGCCTTTTGAGGAAGCTCAGAAATGCTCAGCATTGTCAGTGACGATCTAGGTGATATTATTGATATTATAATCACTTCAGGAAAAATCCATCTCAACACCCCATGTCAGTTTTCAGTGACATCCTTCATTTACATATCTACTTTGGATGGTGTCCACAATTAAAAGGCACGTCACATAAATGTTTTGTAAGGTTTCCCTGTGCATTTGCAGAATTGCATCAATGGTCTGAACAAACATTTCCTCGAAACAATGTTAGTATAAATGTAATGCAGCACTTTAACATTTTTCCCCCCTCCATTTTAACTTATTGTGTACAAAAAGCAAATCAGTAACTGGTTCACAGGTGTTAACTTTACAATTGTGTGCTATCAAACGAGGATAGATACAACTCAATGAAACTCTACAAACTACTGTCAAAACTCCATAAAGGTTATACAATAAGACAAAGGAGAAAACATTGAGACGTGTGGCAATGCTAGCATTGTGGTTTTGGTAGCTTTAGCCAGGTCAAAGCTACACATTTCAAGCATTTAGCTAACGACCAAATACTATTCAGCTTTATGTCCTTTCACCTAGCCACCCATTTTATTTAATTATCAGCAGCCATAAAATAAACTAATTTTCCAGCAATTTTTGTATTTGTATTAAAAATGAACAAATTTAACCCGCAACGCTTTGACTTTACATGCTAGCTAGCATTCTCATTCAGAATGCTAGCTAGCACGTTTGCTTAGTGATGAGTTTAAGTGCTACAGTATTCTTGAAAAATACTAAGCCTACAAATGCACAGAGAAACCTTAGATATCTTTATCTAGTCATTAACGATCACTCCTTTTCATTCTAAACCAACTAACCTATCGCCATCACAGCACTGATATTGAATATAGAAATAGCTTGCAACATTTGACATTGTACACGTTCTTCCTGCCACCTAAACTGGACTCTATATTTTTAACAATGGCACCATTGATCTCCCCATGCATGACATTTACAAAGTCAATATTATAAAGAGGTTGCAAGATGCCCACCCCCCGCCCTCACAAAATAAGTTCAATAATAAGCTGACAGAATTTGTTGAGGTAACCCCCTCGAGACAATCATCCATGGATATCTTAAACTTTAAATAACAAGGTGTTAGCTGGGAAAAATAAGTACAGCATGTATGTGTGTAAACACTCACTATTTTTCTCTCCTTTAGAATGAACCGACTTCAGACAGTGGAACATAAATCCAAGGCACAAACCATAAAGAAACCTCAGAATGACCCAGAAGAAAAAAACTAGGTCGACTATTTCCTATCACACAAAACACCTGCAACAGAAAGCAGATTTCAAACGGTCCCCTCTGCTTTTGAAATTCGCAACATGACGCCTGAATATGACAACACGAAATTAAGGTTAATACACGAAATATGTAAATAGCGGGGACTGGTCGAGATAAATAACCTGGAACAGCAGAGAGAATAAAACGTAGACCAAACTTTTATTGTGTCAAGGTATAACAACAATGTTATTTTCTCTACATTTTACTGGATTGTTTTCTGACTGGAAACACAAGTTAAATTGGATTTCATAAATTAAGGAAAAGGTCAGGTAATGGGAGGCTGCTGGTTCCTGTGAGCGAGAGTTATTGGTCCACGCGGAGGGAATCTAGCTTTTACGGCCTCCAACTGACAGCTCTCCGGCCGCTCCCTGTGAGGAGCTCGCCACAGTTAAAAGCCTCTGCAGGCACGCTGCAGCGAAGCTCTCGGAAAATGCCAACGCGGCCTGAATTCTGAATATTCTAGGTTGGAGTTGCCCCATTCGATTCAGTCCATTGTGTCGGAGAGCTGCTCACGAGACAGGTGGACAGTTCCTGCTGCAAAGAGCGGCGATTAACGACGTTTGACACAAACCACTGGAAGCTCGTGGTGGGTTTCAGCTAAATAAACCGTTAAATTACGTTGGAGTGCCTCAGATTTATGTCTCCATTTTGTCATAGGTTGTCAACAAGCAGACTGAACAAATCAAATAGCGTTTTAGCAACAGCAGAAAAAAAAAATCCAGGTGATTAAACAGCATTAGTAAGTCTTTGCTAAGCTTGAGGAAAATTTGCACATTTGTGTTTTATTCTGAAACATGGATGCTTTAAAATGTCAGATAATAATAATAAGAAAAAGAATCCATAAAGTGCCCTCTGCAAACATTTTCCCATATTCCATGTAGACGTTATGGGGCTCAAACTAAATGGGTCCTGTCACTCGTTGAGAGTTAAAGTTCTAAACAAAGAGATGTGTTGCAGCTGACTGAAATGATGGGATTTGCAGTTTTAGACCACCCAAAGTAATGTCTTTACTTGGAAAAACCGTGCTTGTGGGTCATCTTCTCAGAGCCCCAGTGTCAATTAAAATGTACCATTTGCGTGAACCACGGAGAAAGACAGGAAATTCATTTCATTCTGCCCTTTCACAAGGCTGAAATTCATTGATTCCTGCCGACCAATGGCTTCCTTCATTCCCTCATCTTGTTTCTCTTTTCCAATGTGAGCGGGTCAGAACGGGGTGGCGGACAGGAAAAATGGATTCATGTGATTTTAATTAAATTTTGTGGTGTTACTGCTTATGTAAGAGAGGGGAACCTTCATCAAACCCTCCCCCCCTCGTATTTTCCTCATGTCCGAAAAGAGAAGGAAAAAAAAAAAAAAAAAAGTACAGCTTTTCTTTTACTCCAGAACAGGAGGAACCGGACCAGTCGAGAATAAACCCGGCGGACTGATTTCGGGACGCCTCGGGTCTCTCTTACGGCAAAACGCGTCCATGCGGATGCATGTGTGTGTACTTGTTTTTGACATGAGACAAAGAAAGAAAGAAAGAAAAAAATGCCAGAGACTGAGATTCTACGATGGTTTATGATAAGTTTCCTGCATGTGCGTGAGAGTGTGTGTTTCTGACTGTGTGTGTGTGTGTGTGTGTGTGTGTGTGTGTGTGTGTGTGTGTGCATCTAAGTGAGATGGTCCTCCAGTAGTGCATCTACGACACTCCGTTCACCAGTGCCGGAGCGTCCTGTTTGTCCTTCTTCATCCCTCGTTCTCTCATGGGTCTCTGGTGGTGGTGGCGGGGTTGGCCCTCGCCGCCGGCAGCTATTCCGCTCGTGGTTGCGGGAGGCGCCCCTCCTCCTGCTCCTCGCCCAGCCGACGAGTGCTGTACGCTTCGCTCGTTTCCGTCCACGCGAATCTGTGGCGGCAAAGGAGATACATGAGGGCACAAAAAAACAAACAACGGTGACCGTTTTCAAAGAAAACTACGATTTACTCCACCTAAGAAGCACCTAAGGCGTTGCGGTGTCTCTCATATTTCAACCTATATGTGTGACAGTGCTGTCTAGAAGTACATTTTTGCCCAGTTTGTTCTTTAGAGTTGAATAAAAAGACCTTAACTACAAAAAAATATGTTCATACTACCCTTAAATATACAGCAGGCATTGGGTTCCACACCCAACCACGATAGGCGAAAATCAATAAAGTAGTGACTTTATTTGATCAAATATATATATATATATATATATATATATATATATATATACACACTTGCACGATCACCTACCAGCTCATAATGTGTCAGGTATAATCTAATCTTCCAGAACTAGCTTAACTGGAAGCTGCTTTAGTTGCATTTCCGTGTGCGTCTGAATACTGTTTTATAATTTGAATTATTTCTCATAGTATTTCTATTCATTAAGGTAAGAAAATGCAAAATAATAAAAATGAGAAACATATATATAATACATATACACCACAAAATCCTGTGACATGGGGGAAAAATTTGGCATTCAAAATGACATGCATCTGGTTTAAGATCGGCCACACAGCGAGACCCTGAAAAGGGAACTGTGATGGGGCGAGGGACGACCATTAATCTCCTTTAATAAAAACCTTCAAAGATCAACTCGTTTTGACCAACAGCATCCCACCTCCACCACTTTTACCTGGTAAGGTACTCAAAAACCACAGCACTTATCTTTTGAATCTGTGGTAATATTCAGTAAACCTGAGAGCAAAACCCCTCTCATCTGTTAAACTTTATAAACCAGACCAATTATTACATTCCAGAGACAAAAAAATAAAATATTAATATTTTTTCCTCTGTAACAGTTAATGCAAAGAGCTGACACTCCTCTGTTCCCTTTATCCTTATTTACAGTATCTTCTGGACTAAGTCGCACTTTTTTTTCATAGTTTGTGCTCCTGCGACTTATATCTCAAAAAAGCTGTAGCTGAATAACTGCTGTTATGTAATGTTCCTCATTCCATTGTTAAGTTGAATAGTGTAACTTCCCAGATTAAATGGGCTGTTCTTGAACTTGGATTTTGTGAAAAAAGTTACAAATTTGTACAACTTGTAGTCCAGCGCCACTTACATGTTTTCTTTTTCCTATTGCTGATGCATTTTCTTTTACTAAAGTGACTTATAATAAAAAAGGACTAAATAATTAATATTTAATTAATAATTAATAATAATAAACTGAATAATTAAAGCCCTCAGTTTCAGATTCCCTTTTTGTGCTGTAATTTGGTTCAAATTGGAAGTCAGGTTCATCAACTTCTTCTTCATTATTACACTGTGAAGCTTTTCACTGTGGACCATGAGTGAAAGATGTTTTCTTTTAGACCTAAACATTTTTAAAATAGAAAAAATAAACCCTCACAGAAAGTTAACTCCCAGTTTGAAGCACCATTCTCCAAAGTTTTTGGGCCACTCCGGACTGAAATATTTTATCATCCTAATTCAATAAAACGTTGACTCGAGCAGCTATTGTTTGCGTGTGCTACCTGCAGAGTGTCTTCCTGGCCTCTTGTCTTGGGGTCTCGGACATGGCGAGGTCTCGACTCGCTCCACTGCATGTCTTCACCTGAGGTCAGAGCAAAGAATTCACGGTTGGTTTTGCTCAGTATGTTCAGGTCCTGATGCCAAAAAAATGTTTCAGTCCATTATGTATGGTTCATGATTCTTAAAAGAACAGCTTGCTGGCAGACAGAAGCATCATAGTGAATCTTACCTGCATCATTATGGGACTTTTTTTTTGTTTTCTGATGAAAATGTGAAACTTTTTTGAAGAAGCAGCACTCATATTGAAAAACTATTTTTCAACGAGTCTTCTGGGATCTAATTATTTGATTCGCTCCCTTTCTCCGGGATATAAATAGATGAAAAATTTGTTTCAAGTTATACTGCACAGAGATTTTCTTCTCTTTCTTCTTTTTTGCTTTTTACAATTGATTTTGACACTTTCCTTTCATTAACATAAAAAATAACCATTTTGACGAAGCAACAATATTTTAGGAAAACAATCATGGGTCGCATTACGATGAAAATTCAAGCTTTGCCACACTGCCTGCAGACAGTCCATTCACCCAAGAATGATCCGGACACACCGACAGACGATGGCAATGATGCTCACCTTTGTATCCACCTCTCCCTCTCCCTCCCCGGCCCCTCGGACCTGCGCCACCTGCTCTCTTCCTCCCATCCGTCCGTCTCGGCAAGGTCCCGCCTCCAGTCATCAGCTCCTCGGTGGGGGCCAGTGACCAATCCCCCAGCTCCTCCCTGTGGTCGGACTCCGTCTCTGAGGCGTTGGATGCCTCCGAGTTGGTGCCTGGAGGGGTTGAGAGCAAAAGTCAGACTAAAATTGCCTCCTTTTTCGGGAAAGAAAACATGGAATGGACCTTTGAGACACAGGCTGTTAGTTCGCCATACCCGATGCAAACGGCGCTCCTCCCCCTCGCCGCCCTCGTCCACCTCGGCCTCCGACGAAAGGCTTCCCTCCTGCTCCTCGTCCCAGCCCCATGCCGTTATCGAACACGTAGGCTTTGTCTTTAGGGTTTCGGGGTCCAGCTCCCCCGCCTCCACCTCCTCCTCCTATCTGCCTCAGCTGCTCGTCAATCTGGAGACGCTCCAGACGCAGCTGATCCACCTCCTGTGGACAGAATCATAAAGGAACCGAGTGCTTACATCCTCATCTATCTGGATTTGAGCCCACGTCTACTAGTCATTCCTGTATAGGATGATTTACATGATTTCAATTATGCTGGATGAGCTCCGTGTAAAATGTAAATTATAACGTTTAATCTAGATTGGAACATATTCAATAAATGCTCATATTTCAAAAGTGAGAAATTTTACTAAGTCATAACTAATATAGTGTCCCCTTAAATTTAATGGCAGGGGCAAATAAAAAGGGGATGTAGTAAAAACAAAAAAAACAAAAAAAGTGAGGAAGATTTAGTTGATTCATTTCATTGCATGGCAACAGGTCAGTAACATGATCCAGGATTTTAAAAAGAGAAGCACCTTAGAGAGTCTCTGGGGGGGTAGAGACAGGTGGAGGGTAAACTACCTAAAATATCTGTTTGAGAGATACTGATTCATACATAATTTGAATAATAGTTAAAATGACGTGATTATTTTTCAGGGATTTCAATAATCCCTGAAAAAAATGTCGCTTTCGACATTATGATCTCATCAGTGCTGCTACTGTATATCGTTAAAACACCAACCTTAAGATAATTGAGGTGATAGTCCAGCAGTACTGTTGCGTTGGAGATGCTCTCCTTGGTCCCCACAAACACAAATGGCACCATTCCCTGTAACACAGAAGCATCACAATCTTAGAGCTATCCTAAATTGTGTTTACCTCCACGACCGTGAGTATGTTCATAGTTTTTTTCTTTTACACTGACTTCATCTGCTGCCGCTGCTGCTGCCACGGCTGCCACTGCTGAAGGCTTCTTATCGCTCTCGGGCTCAATACGAACCCTCACCACGCCCGACTTGTCCACCACCTCCTGGATCAGCTTCCCGTTCTTGCCGATCACCTTCCCTGCAGGAGCGCACAGTCACTCGCGGCTCGGACTTTTCAACCCAGCTAATTTCTCAAATAAAAAAAAAGCATGTGGATGACAAATTTTTTTCATCTTTTTCCTCACCTACTAAGTTCCGGGGAACTTTGATGACATCTTCGGAAAACTCCAAGAAACTCCGGGCGACGCGGACTGCGTCCTGGTCCTTAGATGAACAAAATAAACACCCCAATGACTAAATTATCATTGGAATTCTTTGAGATAAGTCACTCTGGGGCCCTCTGTTCGTGTATTTCATGGCTTCACAACGGGGCTTGGAGGTGTGAGGACTGGTATGGGGGCACTCAGGCACGAATGGGGGTGCCATAATTTGGCTTGTGCAAAGTTAATTTCCACTCTACATTTTAATCTTCCATGGTTTCCCAACTAAAAATAAAGCTGCTGTCTGAAACCAAGAACCCGAGTCTGCCGCTTCCACTGCTGGGTTAGAGGGGGTAAACCCCGACGTGCCCTTAAGAGATCTCCCCTCTCCCTGATCACGATCGGACAAGCCGAGGAGGGACGGTCTCCATAGTAACGGCCAAGCAAATCTACAGCAGCGGGAACGAAACGCAAGAAACACAGACGCTACTTTTGACAGCTGTCACCTAAACTTTGCGGGCTAAAATTCACATATACAATGAAAATGCAAACAAGCACGATAATGTTACTACGATTAATCATATTAAACACATATTGTGAATGTAACTGTAATATGATAAATTAACCACTTCTATTCCTCATTGGCTTTGTGGACTTTCCTTCACCAGAAACACCAATTTGACTTAAATTCTACTTCACAGCTCATTCCAGAAAAAGAAACTCAAGGGCTCAGGGTGACAGTACAACTAAAATATGATTTCCATGTCGTTTACCAGCTTCGTCTGTTAAGTAATGCATAAACATGACCTATTATGTGCCTCAAAACACATTTTAGAGACAATGTTTTAAATAAATGCTTTAATTTCTTGTAAAATAGTCAGATTTCCTCAGATGCACATCAAGTTGTTAGGGGCATAAAAACAGCTCCAATCCAATAAAAACAGAAGTTTTAAAGCCACACAATGGCTTCTCTCGTCATAAAACCTGGTGTCAGTTGAAGTCCTCCAGTCTTAAGACACAGTTTACTACAAGAGCACTTAAAGTATCAGCACCCTGTAGGTTTTTGGAGGATCAGGGAATGGTTAGGGGGGCATTTGTTGAAAAACGTTTGAGTGTATTTGATCGGTCAAGGCTGTCATACCTCTCCGTATATGTGGAAGGTGCACGTCTCCTCGTCCAGGTCTATGTTTGTGACTCCCGGAACTTTCCGTGCTTGCTGGATGTTGGCCCCGTGAGTCCCGATGGCCAGGCCCATGAGATCGTCCCGCACAGCAAACTGCTCGTGAAACCGTGACGCCAGCTGTCTGGAACTCTAAGCCCGCATGACAGAGTGGAGGAAAACCGCATCTAAAAATGCTATAGCTTAACACTTATCTATACTAACACACATATATGTTTCTGTATGCCTTGTGTGTGTCTTATTGTGCACCTCCAGTTGCCTGTTGGCTTCTTCGTTCCGCAGCATGAGCGACAGCTTGGTCCGGAGGCTCCTGAAGTGCATGTCGCTCATCATACCGGCCCGCTTTGTTGTGACCTCATTCACGGACTGCAACGACAAACAAGTCGGCCGTTTTCACCGAGCGTAGGCCCAAACCTTTTCACCGCGTACGATCGCTGTCATGAGAGGGATCGTGAGGTTTGAAATAAAATATTCACGAACCAGAATGACCAGCTGCTTTTTCTCCGAGTCGTAGGTGACGCTGAACGCTCCGACGGCCTTTTTGAAGTCCTTGTGTGCCGACTCCTTGGAACACCTGGTAACAAAGAGCACGGGTCAGGGGAGAATTCATGCCGATGCTCAGTGGTTGAACTGATCCACGAGGGGATTTCGTTGAACTTGTTTTAGATGTTTGTTGTTTCAATCTGTTCTAATTCAAAGGTTTTACTTCTGAGGATGTTCATTTAAGGGTGAACAAGCTGTTCTTCTGCAGCACTTCCAAAAAGGCCATACTCGTCAAGTCTTTTTCTAACTGTACTGCCATGGTGTGTAACGCCTAACATGCTAACTGAGGCCTGTAGAGTTTGGGATGTTCCTCCTCCTCTGTCTGATCTCAGGGGAACTTTCTGGGAAGAATAGAAAGTCTCTTAAGATATTTTTTTTCGTATATGAATATTAGCTCTCTCTTTAAAATACTGGAGTCCAAAAAGTTTGGAAATGGCCTTTCAACCCCTCCCAGATTGATGAGAACCAACAGTTGATTTTCTAAGATAATGTCCTTCCTCCTAGGAACTGTGTTAACACACTCCTGAAGGATCAAGAGCTGCACACTGACAAGTCTTCTGCTTTCATAGAGCTCCTCCCCAAGCTGTTAGATGACCTTTTAATTAATTTAGAAGCAGATCTGTTATGGACCAGATGCCCTGGTGTGGAGCTCCTTAGCGCATGAAGACATTTGTCTCACATGGCAGGAGGTACACTGTGGAAAGTCTTTTAACCCACCATAATGTTAGTTTATTTCCAGTCCTGAAAGCCCTGAAACAGAATCAGTGAGAAGTAAACCTGTGTCTGTTTGCTTGGATGGAAAACTTACATCTGTCGTAGATCGTCAGGGACATCCAGTCTGATCTTAACAAAGGTGCTTTTGGTGGCCGGCTTATTCGGGTTGACCGGCCGTAGCCGTTCCAGTGTCACTATCTCGTTTAATGTGGCGTCGCATGCAGCATACTCTATTACGTAAAACTAAGAAATAGAAAGAAAAAAAAGACACACAAAGGCAGAGATGCAAATAAAGGCAGGTAAGTTGGATTTGTTAAAAAGGAACAAAAGAACTGAGAAATTCTAAGAAAGGGGTATCACTGGTTTGCCTGAATTGTAATTTATATTCATACAGTCCATTAACAAAGCTCCTCGGACAGATAAGGATGATTTTTATGGTTATTGACATTTTAATTGGCAGTGTATGGCTTGGTTCAGCTGGGAAACATCTGGATATCATGTGAGTGTTTACCAAATGGAGCTTGTGAAGTGACTTTTAAGATCCTCAAAAAGAAAAGTCAGCTTCTAAAAAACGGGTGTAAACACCAGAGAGCTTAGCTTTGTTTCCGATTTAAACAACTCTATATTCCAAAACTACTCCATCCTTTCAAGGACTCATTTTCGATGAGTATCCTATTATGTTCTTTCCTGGGATGGGTATTGTGTTGGTTGCAATGTCAATTTTCCTGAATTTTTACCTGCAGAAAAAACTCAATTTTGCTGCCTGCTTTGAATGGTCTAAAAAAGAAAGAAGAAAAGGCAGCGCCATCTGGTGGACCACTATGAAAATAAAAAATGGAGAGCTTGTTCAAGATGAGATTTTATCATAAGTGAGTGCATTACCTGTTACTAAATTGCTTGGATTTATTTTTAATTTGTATCTATTCTATTTTGAAATAGATTTTGAGGGCTTATTCAAACACAATTCAAAGAGAAAAAAAAAAAGAATATCTCTAGAAATGTTTAGTTTAAATCAGCACACTTTCGTCTTAAAGAGCATTTGGTGTATGACAATTGAGAGGTCAGTACGAGGTTTAAACGTGAAGTTGATGAGTTTAAGGCCAGCTACATACCACACAGCTTGGTGAGCTCACATTCAGCTTTTCCCCAAACGTGCACAATATTCCTGAGCATTAAAAAAAAAACTGAGCTGGGCCAGTCTTACCTCTCCTTTGACCATGCGAACCTTTGCCATCCACCATCCACATGGCTCCTTGTCATTAGCCCTAGAATACACCTGGCAGAACAGACACACATGGAGCCGGTTAGCAGACCCTTTTACCCATTTCAGATAACAGAATTACACACTGTGCAAAGTCACTGATGCTGGAGGAGTTGTCAGGCAATTTAGTGCAAAGGTGGGCAACATGTGATCCTTTTTGCAACATTTATGTGAACAATTAAGTGAAAAGCGGATGATTAAGTGAAAAAATAACATTCCCCATTTAAGAGAAACATTATTTTTTCATTAGAAAAATAAATAAAGTTTAACCTCCAGAGACCCACGCTTTTATTCAGTGTGCATTTTTGCAAATTTCAAGATAAATGGGATTAGTCGGACCTAATGGGTTTAATAGCTAGACTTTTTCATGGTGCAGGTAGCTTTTCTTTCATAGGCTCGGTGGGTTTATCTTTAGATTTAAAATGTTTGGTTATATACTTAATTCAATGTTTTTGCAATTTGGTTCTTATGTGGTTACTTATTTACAACATTTGAATTCCACAATAAGAACATGATCTGTTGAAAATGTCTAAAACCATTTTACTTTAGATTTCAAACAGTAGTGTCTGATAGCGTCTATTATGAGGACAAGAGGGCAAAGTCCAAAAAAAAGAAGGATCATGGCAAAATGTAATGTCGTCATATGAGGACGCAGGCTCTCAGGAGGTTAAAGTGCCTCTGTGTGTGTGAGGTCCACTAAATCTACACAAATACTAGACTTTTTACATAAACGGTATACACCTGTTTTTCTACCCGATTCTAACGTTCAAAATCCATCAGTTTGACGTCGCTTGAAATAAAAAAAGACAACATGACAATTCCCACCTCAACCTCATCGCTCTCATTGATCTCTTTGCAGAAACCTGTTGGAGGGGGAAAACGCAGGTCCTGGAACGGGATCTGACGCTCCGGCTGCCAGCTGGGACAGAGAAACACACACAAACACACGGGCGGTGCTCGTCTTATTACCGAAAGTTATCGCATTACAGCGAGTCATCTTATTGCTGGCGCACTGTACGTTACTCACTTGTTTTCAAACGCCACGGTGACGGATCCCTCTTGAACATCCTTCACGAACGCCTACAAGATTTACAGATCAGGATTTGACACAAACCCCCCCCCCCCCACAAAAAATAAGAACAGTTTTGGCCCTTAAAATCAAATATTTAGACTTTTGGTATTAATGAGGCTTGGCTCGCTATGGCTGCTGTACGAACATGTGTTGAGGATGAGGCAGAAAAAAGGACACTAAAAAGAGAGGTACTCATGGCCAAACCCAAGTCGTGACAATCCGTTGGGAAGGGGCCAAAAAAAAGGGGAAAGCTGCTGAGAACCTCCCAAAAGATTTGAGGAAAGGTTGTTAGAAAAGTCAAATTCACCTTTTTGGAAGAATGGCCTCACATAATACACACACTCAAACACCGTTGGATGAGTCTCCATTCTGGAAAACCCACTTGGAGGGTGAGCTGCACATTGTTTTGGGGATAGGTTCTGCATAATTAACCACACCTCTGCAACACATTGGAGAGCATTACGTGAAAAATGATCAACAGGCTTCAGCCCAGCTTTATGTGCAAAACCACCCGTGCATCTACAGAGTCCTTTTCAGCTAGCATTGAGAGAAAAGGAGGGGGGGGATCACATACACATATCCTGCCTCCATGTGTTAGCTGGGCTCCATAAACTGGGATAACAAAAAAGCTCAGAAACGAAGTTCAGAGTTAAATATCAGTATTAAATCAGTCAAAAGCGGGGTAATATATATTTTAAAAGGCCAGGCTACGGGATGAGGTATAAAATCTCCGGTGGTAAAAGTCAACTGGAGCCACATATTTACTTGAAGCAGACAAAAAAAAAGGCATATCGCGTGCACAGTCAGATCTCCGGAGTTTAAAGCCATCAGAGGATTTCTGAGATTTCCTGCAGACAGGGATTTGAAAAGTCATCTCTTAGTTATGTTTTTAATAACGTTTCTCTGCTATTCCCCCCCCATTCTCTTTTATTTGGTTACAGCGGCTACAAAAACAGCACGGCACATTTGATCATAAAACTGCAGCTACAACCTCAGAATGACAAAGTATTATGGAGCTGAACTGAAATATCAGCCAAACTGTTTCTCCAGGATTCGGCAGATGGAAACTGCCATATGATTGCATCCATTCATTGGAAAAGTGCTGTATTATTTTTGTGAACGGTGTTCTTATCATTTTCTAGGTCATTTGTAAATAAGAGATGATCCACAAGAATTTCGGTGACACATTCCAGTCATTTGGACAGACACTTTTTCCCATTTTGCTTTAAGTTAAGGCCAACTCAAACAGATATAGACACTGTTTGACTGTGTACACATGCTCAGCAATGCAATTTATTCACAATTTCAACAAAATATAATGTTACTGGGACATTTTTATGGGTGCAACATCTTTTACTGTCCCATTTGTGGTGCTTAGGCTTATATCCCGGGGGCGTCTACATCCTTTTTTTTTTTTACTATTATGAACTATGAGGTGTAACAGGCCCATCCAACCGACACAATTCCCGATAAGCTAGCTGTGAACGAGGGGAACAACACAGGTGATCTTAAACGGGAAGTTTGCATTCATTTTCACCATGCAGCTACTATCTAAAACACGACGACCACAGGGCTGTGGGGATCTAAAAAATCGTCCTCAGCCCATCACTCAAGAAAAAAGGGCTGGGAGCACGTTAATCACAGCAACTCCGCTGTAACGATTGGGTTAGTTTTGCAATTTAGTCATTTTCGTCGCTAATTACAACAGAACAGAGCCAGCAGCACCGAGGTTACGTAGTGTCGTAGCTTTTAGTTTTGTTTACAGGTTTTGCTACATTCACGTCACGGTGGAGGCTAACCACAAGCAGGGAGGCCCAAAAATACAAGCGAACGTACCCGTGCTTGCAAGATGAAAACACCTTTTCGTTAGTTACTGGCGTTGTGAAGGAGGAGAAAAGACTCAGCTTACCTTGTAAAAGGCGCCGCTCGTGCCTCTTACTTCCACGACCAGCTCCTCCATGACGCAAGTTACTACAGCTCGCTAGCTAGCTAACTACCGTTAGCGATATTAGTAGCTAGCGAGCTAGCTGGCTAGCTTGACGCTAGCCAAGAGCAGAGTTCGCTATCGTAGGTGTCGTTTACCCTGCCAGCTGGGTGCAAGCAGAAGCCGGGCTAACTGTGCGACGAGGCTGGGTCGTTTCCCGTTTAGCACCGCGAATTAATTCAGCGCTCGTTTTCTCTCAGAATTGAAATTCCGAACGTGAAGGGAAAAAAATCAAAGGCAAGCGGCTATCCGGGTTAGCTTTCGGTAGCCAGTTTATGTTAATGTTGTGTGATTAGCGGTGAGGCAGCTACTGCTGGTCGCATCTCTCCATGTGACGTCCGCGCTTTCTTCCTCTGCTGCCACACGGAGGCTGCTCACTCTCATCCCAGCCGGGTTGCTGCTCTCCGCGGGTGACAAACGGGAATACCAATTCGACAGACAGGGAGATCAATCATCGCAGAATAAAAAAAAAAATGCCCGCAATTGTTGTGCTGCAGTGTGCCCACGTCCAGCCTTTCAAGAAAAATAAATATAAATGATACCTCAGGACTACTGCCAGCCCCTAACTTTAAGGCATAAAGCATCTTTTTCTATAATAAATGATGCAATATATAACCTTCCCTGCCCTGATTTACTTGTGTACTTAAGCATAAGGTGTAAACAAACAAAACAAAATCAAAGAAAATTACATTACATATAAGCATAAAATTCTGATTTTTTTTTCCCATCCCACACTTTTCTTGGCCTCCCCAAATGACAAAGTGGGGACTAGAACCTGTTTAATCTTATGAGATTATTCACTCATACTATGAGAGAATCATATTAGATTATATTATATTCAAGTACCAACCAACACCACATTAATTTGGGCCTATCCTGATTCTACTTTTAAGGGAGCAAAAAATGACTATCGAGATGGATTTAGTTGTTATAGTTACACTTATGAAGCGTTTTTGCTTTCAAAGCTTTGATTCGAGCGCACATTCAAATCAAAGGAAGCTTTCAGGTTTCTCAGCTCTTTTGAAATGTACAACCCTCGATCTTAGACTCGATTCATCGTTTTACCTTTCATCAGCTAACCATTTAAACGGTGATGCATTTAAATTTAAATTGAAAGCTCATTTTGCATAAGCAAAAGAAACCAGCAAACAGAGAAAGATCATTAGGACTCATTATTTGGCGGAGTACAGGGGTTTCTTCATTTAAACAGTCATCCTTTTAAAAATCTCTTGAAGTACTGTCCTGAAGCAGCAGACAACAAAACATATTACGGTTTCCTGTCAAATCTAACCGTTGGGAGTTAGAATTGTACATATCAAAGTTATGTAACCGCTAGATAGTTTGTTAATCCAATCTGGATGTGAATATTGTTGAATTAAAGGGGAGAGTCGGAGCTTATAGACATATTAGAAGGCAGGTTGAGGTGGCAAAGAGGGGGGAAAGGATTTGATAGTGTTGGGTTTAACAGAGAGACGGTGAAATGTGAGAAGCCACAGAGACTTAAAGGAATGAAATGGAGTGGGATTGAGATGGAAATAGAATTAGAGGGCAGCAGAAACAGGGTGACACATGAAGAATGAAATATGATAAAGGGCTTGGAGCAGGATGTTAAACAAACAGATGTTTTATCTAACGGTTAATAAAACAATTAACTTAGTCAGGAAAATAATGTGTATGGTGCCTATGAGTATCACAAATGCACACATAATCTCAACATAATTGAATCCATTTTCCTTGATTATATTAATAAAACTAAAGGATTAAAGCGTAGTCATTTGACGTTTTTAGCTAGCCTTATCTGGACTACCTAAGAAAGATTGTTAATAGCAGCAAGACTCCATTACAAAAAACAAAACAAAAATTTAAAAAATCAACAAAAAACAAACTCAGAAATGAATTAATGAGTTGTTGATATTATAATAACAGTCATCATAACAAATATTTGATATGCTACTGTATAAGTTGGTAGGTTCTCCAGGAGCATTAGCGAATAAAACTTTGTCAGTTTTGGTATTTTAACATGTAAATGAATCGTTTTAAGAAAGGTGAGAAAATGGCTCATTTAATGACCCCTTTCTCTCATTTCTGGCACTGCACATGCACTGATGTAACACCCCTACAGATGTTTATTGTGTCTGGACTGACAATTCTCATTAAAGGCACCACGGACCAGCAGTATGGTTCAGCCTGTGAAGTGAAACATTTGATTAAATGATCGCGTTTGTCTTTTTAATACACGTATCAGTGCAGGCATCATCCATGCTAAAAAAGCCCTTATCATTCTTAAACAAAAACCTGGTTTATCTTTGAAAAACTTAATTAAAAAAGATAGAAAAACAAACACCGTCTTTATTCAGCAATTTTTTTCTTTACTGACTTTTTGCAAATACAGAAAATACACAATAATATCTAAAAAAAAGATTTCAAGGCATTCCTTTAAGAGCAAACACTGCTTAATAAAAAAAAATCCCCTTAAAAATATTGAGAAACATATTACATGGAACACTTTTTGCTTTGTGAAAGATGAAGGTGTAACTTTAGGAATTGGGTAAAATGCACATTTCATATTTGTGTTTTTTATTAGTTAAAAAAATTGGAAACTTTATTTCAAATTTCAAACACTTGACAAGCCATCGTCATCATCTATGCCTTTTTTCTGTTGGGAAGAAAAAGTCATGACCAAGTCAAAAGCTGTTTCAAGCTTATTCATATTTGGTAGCAATCTATGTCAAGTGCACTTAGATTCCACCTTTCTTCATTCACGTTTTTCTTCTTATTAGTGTTCTAATACGCACCTAATCCATTGTAAGAGCTAAATGAATCAAGTTATATCACCTTAACATAGGTAGAGCCATAGATATTTGCTAACAGACAGCAAGGTTGTTTCGACCTGGAATTTCATGCATCCTGTGGAAAGATCTGACAACATGTGTTCACACTTCTCCATGTGTTTTGTGTCCACATAATAAACTGATGACTTTTTCAGTTTGCCCCTTAAGTCAGAGCGAAAAATGATAGCAGACCAGAGTGGACTGTGTTCCACTCGCAAGAGGGAAAGCAAGTAAGAATTGCTCATGTCTGTGAGGAGGCTAGCTACTATTAGCAACACAAGCTGATAAAAATGCATTTCAGTTCTTTTCTTTTTGTTTCTTTTCTTCTTTTTAATATATGATTTTGCACATGTAAACAATGTAAATAAAAAGGTACACTGTTACTCCTTAATGGAGATGGAAATCAACAGAAATATTAAAAAGCCGTTCATTCCTCTGTCGTCACTTTCTCTGGGTGGCCAGCCATGTTGTATTTCGAGCTCTGGACTGTTGAGGCTCTTCTAACTTGTCAAATCACCAGTTCAACAAGACGAGGCATTAAGTTGATGTTTTCCAGTTGGAGTTCAAATAGGTTGTAACATCAGTCGTGGTTGCTTTCATGGTTTTCCTTCCAGATGGTAGATTTTGGCAGGAGTTTTTACGCCTGATGCCCCTTGTGATGCAACCCTCACGCTTATCTGGGGTTGGGACAGCCAAAAATGCACACTACCCTGCCGCATTTTAGGCTGCGTTTTGGGAAACTTGGGTTGCAATGTCTTGCCCAAACACACCTAGGCACACTCAAATGAGTTCCTTTCAAGACACGTTGATGCTAACTGCTTACTCGGTTTCAAAGATGTAGTTTTAATCCACATCTGTTTTAGCTAAATGCATCAGAAACTGTGGCTGAATTTCACTTGAATTTGATGCTTTTCCAATCCGCTCTAGTAAATTTCTGACCACGTCAGCATTTCCCAAAAACACCATTCACGTGACGTAATAAGAAGGTATTTGCATACATTCGGCTATACTTTGTCCATCAGACGAAGTGAGGAGTCGTGGAATTTGTGGTAGATTTTCTTGCACAGTCCACACCATTGGACACACTCAAGTCAATAATGTGCTTCCGTTCCCTTGCATCATAATAATGACCGTTACAGGAAGGGTTCAGTTAAAAGAGCGAGTCAGGCTAACTATGCATGGAACCATGCTGACTGATTAGTAGACCAATTCAGTCGCTTTAAATGGATTTAGACATATTAGTCTGACTGAAATAATACGGAATCTATGCTCATCGCACTGGATTAACTCACCTATTTAACTCTAGAGTGGAATAGCTCCCACATATCTTCCCTTTCATATCCTTGATCAAAAACAAGAAATGACAATCCAAAGCACAGAAGCAGTGGAACAAGCCGGTAACCACAAATACTCACCTCAAAACACTTTTAGAATAGAAAACCAGTACAATTTACAGAATTGACTAAAATGTAGGGAGCAGTAAGGCTGTCCATTTCAACCGTCAACAACGGGAAGAATCTGCCACAAGGTGGGTTATAAATTGTCCCAATATATACAGTGTATATATCCTATTGGGAGAGGGCCTGTGGTTTAATTCAGAGGCCAGGACAAACTTTCACCATAGCCTGGCAAAACATGTAAACATGTGTCAGCAAACAAATGTAAATGTAAGTGAAATTATGCCACTTTTTAAAAAGATTTAATCCAAAACTTTCTTCTTACACAACTTCGGAGCGCGTGGATTTTTTCCTACCTTACTATGTTACCACAGTCATCTAGCCAGGTGAAAATAGAGCCAGCAGCATGTCTCCTCAGTTACGAAAAGCATAAGTATTCAGGCTTTCTTCCCTCAGTACCGACCCGACAAGCCTCCCAGTGCTGCTTTAATCACTTCTCTTTCTGTAAATGAAACTCTCTTCTGATATTCAATGCTGTTTCTTTATAGAAAACATCTCTTTTTGTATTTTGGAAACTGTGGAAGCAGAGAAAAGTAGAACTTATCTTTGCAATTATATTTCATGGGAGTAGTTGGTCCCTCGATGTATGTAATATATTTAAGAAGAAAAAAAAAGGGGGGGTGTCGCATGCATTTCATACCAGACCAAATGGGGATCCAACTAAATCTGTTCTGGGTGCATTTACACCTGTAGCGCTGTACGAATGTTAGCACTAGGTCTGCACAGGAACAGTCCCAGCCCCAATTCTTTCAGCTACCCACAACACTAAGCAGATTAAGCATTTTGCACAATGTGAATGAATTTCTGTTCTGTGTTTCAGTGCGAACTCCCTGTTGAGCCTTGTCTCTGGCTTGTATGTAAGGATTACCAAAACTCCTTCACAAATCAGATATTAGAGCAAAAATAAATACACCTTTACTTCCTGTTAGTATTATTTTTTTTACAGTAACGTCATGTAATTCACTTTGTCATGTAAAAGCTGCTCTATCTCGCTATTTTTTCATAAGCAGGTATGGAAATGGTGCAAAAACTCAGGTTATGGGAACTTGATAGACCTCAGGCTCTCTGGCTTTGCACAGTGTTTAAACTTCTCAATGCGTTGAGTTATCCAGGTCATTAAACCATCATCCGCTATCAATACACCAACTGAATTTCCTAAACGCAGCCTCCTGATATATTAATGGTGTTGCTCAGTAAGCTACAGTAATAAAATACGGCAAGCGTGTAGTAAAGTCCTTCTGTCGCATGTCACGCACCAGATTTGATCGATGCCCTAGTCACATTGAGTACGTTCCTCCCACAATCTTGAAGAAAGCGGGCTTCCTGTGTACATTAAATAATCAATATGGCTTACTGTCATGCAGCCCGTACGCATCACCACTGACATATTCCCTTCCAGCAGGAGTAACTCATGCAGCTCCTCCTGGCACAGCTGTGAAGCAGCAAAAAAGGCCTCTACATTATCCACACACAGGGGATCACAGTTTTCTATCCTGAAATTTCCTACGGCAGAGGCAGTGATGCTGATGCAGACTTCGGTAAAGCAGCCACGTGGCGTCTGCCTGGGAAAAGAAAGAGTCCACCAGAAAAGATTGGAAATTCAAAAGAGAGTGGAAGAGTTTGTAGGTGTCAAAGTCTCATAAGGCTAAGGCTGGATATTTCCACCTTTCGAACACAAAGGGAAAGCTGGCTAAGCCCCGCTACCACGAGGACAAGTCGGAAAAGACATCTCTAGTGGGGTAGAAAGAGGAGCTGCGCTGTCCTTTCATGGCAGGAGAATGCACAAGGGTAAAAGGGGTTTCTAAATCAATAGGTAACATGCTGCCAGACAATCCATGAGCAGCTCACTTTCTGGAAACATTTAGTCAGGGTCTTTGTACACAATTCTACTAAACTCACCGGGAGGGTTTTGCCCTCCCATTTATCCATATTTATCTCCCATTTCATATACTATTCGTGCATTATCTCTCATTGATTTCCAGTCTGGACGGCACTGTGTTGTGGTGCACCATTGCAGCACAGCAAGAGGGTCCTGGGTTCAAGTCCCGGGGGAACCAGGACCTTTCTGTGTGGAGTTTTCATGTTCTCCCTGTGTCTGTGTGGGTTCTCTCCGGTTTCTCTGGCTTCCTCCCACTGTCCAAAACCTCCATGTCAGGTTGATCGGAATTTCCAAATTGCTCTTAGGAGTGAGTGTGTGTGACTGTTCGTCCTTGTGTGTCTCTGTGTGGCCCTGCGATGGACTGGCAGACAGTCCAGGGTGCACCCCGCCTCTCGCCCATTGAATACTGGGATAGGCTCCGGTCCCCCCCGCGACCCCATTTTTTGGAATAAGTGGTTCAGAAAATGGATGGATTTCCAGTCGTGTATTCTGTCCCGTACGGTGCCAAGCTAAGTAGATAGCACATACATTTGAAAGTCTATTACTCTTATGAAATAATCCACTTAAAGAGGATGTTTGAGTGTTTGGTTGGAAGCTTAATCAAAAGTCATCTCAAATAGTTAGAATACTCAAAGGGAGCTGTTTTTTAGTTTTCAAGCCAGTTGGGAAAGGTGGATGTCCACCGCTTTCCGTTCAAATGAAGGCTAAATAAACGACAAACAACAAAAGATAAGTGAAAAAAAGTTCAAATACAATGAAGCTTTTGATCATTTTGACAAAGAAGATCTTTTTCCCCACATCTGCCCTAATTCCCTGGTGTCTACATGGTGTTTGCTCCTGAAAATTCAGTAATCCTGGGGTGCTAAACTCCCCGACTTACTTTTATTGCCAAATGGCTTTTTAATGATCTGCTGTCTCGGACTGAATTTCAGAACCCCTCCTCCTCATTGTCATTTCCACCTCCCACGGAGCCTCATCTGAATCCTCTTCCACTCGCCCTATCCTTTCCCTTCTTTCATTGGTGTCTCTACTGAGAGAGTGCATCAGACTGTGATTGCCAAACAAAGATGTTTTAAATGGATTTCTTGGGTTTTAATGTGATTTTTCACCGGTTTTCCAAACCAGGGCCCATTTCAAGGAAGACTATGCTTCCAGGCTGTGAGTTAGCAGAAATCCTAAAAAGTGTGTTTACTCGGATTGTGTTTAAACTGAAATGAGTGGAGGAAACTTTAGGTTATGTCGTTGTCCAAAAAGGCAGAATGCCATTTGGGAATCTGTATGAAATTCTTCTTTCCCCTGGTCACTGTCCCTCTTCTAACATCTTCAACAAAAAGGATTCAGGTGAGCTTTTACACCTTCCACCTGTTCTGTACTACTCTTAGTGTCTTAACATTCCATCCTCCTCCCAAACCAGGAATGTTCCACTTCATTTCAGACTCTTCTTTCCCTTCTGCTCTCCTATCATCCCATTCCTCCTTGACAAATAAAGTTAATCTCCTCTCATCCCTCCCGTTATGGCTCGCACTCCTCCTTCCCTCAACAGGGACAGTTGCTCTTGGTTTCAGTCTCTTGCGAGAGTCGCACTCTCCCATCCTCTCGCTCCACGTCTCTGTAGAGCAGGGATTTCTGGGCTTTCAAGCGGCAGGCCAGGGACATGAAGATGGAGTTGACGTTCTGACACTCCTTTGGGTCCTTTGCCGACGTCTCAAACAGCAGCATGTTGTGGGCATCTGCAAACTTTAGTGCCATGTTGGAGGGCACCTGCGGAGACACGGGTGCATGGCCGTAAGCTCGACTGGGACTAAAACGCAAAAGCAAGTCGGAGTCTGTTGCCCGTGTACACAAACCTGGATTTGATCCACGAGGTCGCATTTATTTCCCACCAGAACTCGAGGAACTGATGCTGACACCCGATGGCCGTTACACTCCTGGAACAGAACAGAGTACCGTGAAGCATACTTGTGTTGTCAGGTTGAATCTGAAGCCACATTTTGAAGGCACTAATTAAACAGACACAATAGTTGGAAGTAAATAAACCTGGTAGTGCTGTGTGTCAAATTCATTAGAAGGAGTAGTTGTCCTTAGTCGAAACAAATCTCAAGGAGGCAAAGAAAGTCAACAAATACCGCAGTTGATACCCACAGGTGGTAAACTAAGGGGGAGCTCTGCCTCGGGAATTACTTTAATATTTGAGAATATTGTTTCAAGTCTGGGAGGGTGTCAGTCAATCATAGTTTATTTACCGACTCTGACCTGGAATAGCTATCAAGTTAATCATTTTTCTTTTTGACCAGGTCAGATTAATTTCCCCAAAAGTGCTTGAAGCCCCCTTCAAAGTTTTTCTATTAACTTTTTATTATTACTATCTATATTTATCGTGTGTTGCACAGATACATCACAAATGTGTTCATTTTCCAAATACTTATGGACCATACTCTACATAAGGGATGATACTATTTGTATAAAATTTTAATTGTTGGCGTAGAAAGGAAACTAAACTTACATCAATATTGAACAAATCACTACAAATAGAATTCCATTTTATAATGATGACATTAAATCACAAGGACACTAACTCTATCGCTCAGTGTGAGGGCAATAGACCTTCCTTTATTGCTACCAACTATTTTGATGGCCTAAAATCAACTACATAAATCCTTCCTACAAGAGTTCCAAGAAGCCATTCCACAGAGCTGCATTCAATGGCTGCTGATAGTGCTAAGAGAGTCAAATTTAATTGTTTAATTGTTTAGGAGTACATTTCAGACCTCTATCCATGTCTGAAGATTGCGGAAAGAGGCCATCTTGGTGACGTCATACACAAAGACCACTGCGTGGACATTGCGGTAGTAGTGCTCCACCATTGACTTGCGGAAGCGCTCCTGGCCTGCTGTGTCCCACACCTGTACCTGTGGAGGGCCGTGAAAAAGGTAAGACACAGTAAGACCTTTATTACTTACCATATTACTAACTCAGTTTATATGTAAAAGAGACCGTAAATTGTTTGAAAAATGCCAATGTACTCTTAATACTGTTGCCATTGATATTTGAATGATCCTTATGAAAAGCGCAGACATTTGGGCTTCTTTTTAAAATGTTTTAGTTTCTATTGGTCATAATAGTAAATGTAATTAAAAGCGGAGATGGAAATCTTGTTGTCTAAGCTTGTAAAGTCTTGTTAAAACCTTGATATACCCAAACATATTCATTTCATGGTTTTATGAGTAATCACTAACAGTGGCCTTGGTCTGTAACAACATTAAATGAAAACTTGTTAGTTTTAAGGCTCAAGTGACTGAATGCTGCCTAAAATGCCTTAATCAGAAAAAACTTTCATATCAAAACGTACAACTCCCAACACCCATCTGAGGCCGAAATGATCTTTTACCTTTTGTAACCTTTTATTCATACTGCTCAAGAAATCAGTCCTTGGTGTGTTAAATTAAAAATATTCTATCCAATTGATACAAAACATAACTGGATCTCCTAAAAATAAATGTAAGGTTTCTACCCATCAATGGATGTATATATTTAAAACCCAGTGCCAAGACCTATTGGAAATACATGAGAGGTTGAGTAAATTTTGGCAAACCCAACCCTAATTCTGTTGTCTTTGTGGGGACTCTTGACTGTGTGTCAAACAGACTTGAGTCGATTACCATTAATTTGACAACTTGAGCATCTATACATAGTTCTGCACTATTTTTAGGCCTCTGCAGCCAATATGTGTGCTATCCTCATTCAACTGCCCAAAGAGAATTTTGGAGGATTTTAATTTATCTTTTTTATTTATTTATCTTTAAACAAGTATGAAAACATGTGCACTAACAATTTAGGCTTTGGATAAAAATACCCCCCCCCCTCCAAAAAAAAAGAAAGAATAAAAGTGTTCAAACTAAGAAGCAGAAATCTTTATGGATTCTTAAACAATTGAATCCCTTAATCACAATGATTTGGTAATTTACTGCACGTCCACTTGATTTAAAGAGAATTCAAATTATTTACGGCATAGACCTAAAAAAATTTAAAGTAATATATCAGTCATGTTCCAATTTTCTTACTTAGCAGCTGACAGAGCAGCACTGCAATTCAATTTGAGTTCAGCTCATTATAACAGTAATAATTTGTCATTCCAAAACCCTTTCTAGTAAAATTTCAGTGCAGCACAGATCCACACAATTAAGCTATTCAATCAAGTGAAAAATCATTACAGTTCAATTAAATCCAAACCATTATAATCCAAATGCTCTTTAAGTATAGGGTTAGAGTTATGAGGAGTACAGTATATACAGCTTTTTTGTTTGCTTATTCCTGCTGACAGCAAACAAACCTCCTTTTGATAAATCTAATTCTGCACCTACACATGTCGTAGATGTAACTATGGCCATCACAAATTGCCCCTTGTTTTAAGGTTCTATCATTCATTTGTCCTAGGAACATTCATGATTTACCAAAGGATATCGTTTTCAACCAAAATTACAAAAATGCAGTCAACTTGTCTTTTCCTTACGTTTAGTCTTTAGTTAATTTTCAATTCATAGTCCCAATTTCCTTCATTTATTTAAGGAAATGTGTTTTTGCTTGATCAAAAATATGCACAAGCACTCATTTTTCTGCCCTTTTGTGCTGTATTTTCTCATTTCAAGGTATCTTGTTTTGGTTATTTTTGCTGACACTCTGGCTTGTTCCTTTCTCCCAGCATTTCTGCTTCCCTGTTCCAACCTTCCAATTTTGTGTGTATATGCCCCCCATTTTATATCAGGCTGACAACAATCAAAATCTTATACCACATTTTCTTGCTATAATCCAATTTCCTCTTCAACTACTGTTATAATTATAAGGTAGCAATGAAAATATCTGTCTTTTGCGTGAATGCTCTTTTAAAGAATATGCTCTCTTCTGATATTTTGTGCCAAAAGGTTTTTTGCTGACACTCCTTAATAGTTTTAATGCATCCCTATCTAATAGCCTGGTTCATTATTGCCCACATAGGTTTGTGCCCACTCTTTCCCATTTAGCTGTATATAAAAAAGATGCACTTATATCACTATTTTTGCCAAGACACTTTGAGGAAAAAAATGTCCATGCTTGCTGTTGGTAGTTCTGTTACTGGAAGATAAAACAAGTGAATTTAACCTCAGACAAAAGGCCTGGGCATTGCAACGTGCCACACTGTTTTTGTTGAAGAAAAGAAACACTGATGAGTCACTGAATAGGTCCAAGTATGAGCCATCGCACCATGCAAACAAGAGGATGGCGACTTCAACGAGAGGACAGAAACTGCCTGGCTTGCAAGGAGAAATCAGCTGTGGTTGGAAACATCTATGGTATGGTCTATCACAATTTGAATAGTTTACATAGAATGTTGGGATTTAAAACAATTAGAGGACAGAGGACAGTCCCTATAGCCAATTCAGAACCAACTGCAAAAACGGAGCATCTTTCCAAAAGATGCTCCATCTTTGCATCTGCTCTCCCCAAATTCAGACCATTACAAAGAGTTGGGTGAATTGTATGGCTTCTGGGTTTGAAGTGGGGCAAGATCCAACAATTTCCAACCATTTCTGACATGAAGGTGTACGTCAGGAATGATTGAGATACATCGACTCATTAATGTGTCTGAATATATAAGAACATTACTAAGGCAAAACAATTGCAGCAAAATAGTATCTAGGAGGTTCAAGCTGATCACAACTGAAGATCTTAAACTACCAGAAGATCATATAGTGAAGACTCCACAAAAATGACCCCTGAAGCCAGGCATAAATTAACCAATCACAGCCAAGTACCTACAAAAAATGTTTTTTTTTCTTAAAAGTAAGCTATCTGTCCCACCCACTAACTGCCAGTTGGTTTCTTTGCTAGTGTAATAAGATGGCCAAATAGGTAACAAGAACATTTTTCACCAATCATGAAGGATTCTGCCTCAAGGCCAGCACCCAAGACTGAATATTAGGAGGCCTGAGGGAGGCCTAAAGACTGTGAGCATCAGTCATTATCAGGAATGAAAAAACAACCATTCAAAAGTAAGAGAAAGCTAGAAAACCAAATCCCTGTGACGAACGTCAAGGGGAGAGGGGGAACCATCATAGATGGTTAAACTCCTGCATGTCATGAATCACCCACAGATTAAAGGAGTCAGTAATATCAAGATGTCCTATGAGTCAAAAGAAAAGACTGGTCTGCAAGGCAGGATATGACCAAAAAGAGGAGCACAGGGTAGAGTGATAGAGGTAAGTGGGCATCTACATTCATACAGTGATGACGGCTAACCGACAGGGCATTGTAGTGGTTTAACACAGGGGAAGGCAAAAGGGATTGAGTTAAAAACAGGTCAAGAAGAGGCATTTCCAAAAATACCAATGACTAAAATCTGGAAGTAGAGACAACAGTTGTTCCTGTGGGGCCCCTAAACTGAAAGTGTCTGTAACATTTACCCCTAAAGACCAGAAAATAGTGCCAAGAGAGCGCGGTCCAAAAAGCTAAGATAAGGTGAAGAATATTTAAAATCCCAGACCTCTTGTTGAGGTCCAACATAAACATTACACACCAGAATTTAATGGCAGCAAAACATTCGGATGCTCATACATAACCTATTAAAAAATATATAGATTACATATGAATCACTCTTACCTTTACTTACAGTGATTCCCACTGAATACAATATGAATGTGAAAAATCTTCTGGGGTCTTTCAAAGACTAGAATAAACTGGTCTAATACGTAAAGTGAACTGTGTTTTTAATGCTTGTGAGTCAGCATAAGGGGGCATCTGGAGGTTGCACAAAGCATGCATAACTAAGAGAGGGGAGGGGGAGGGGAGAATATAAAGATACATTTTAATGGTAGGTTGGCCACAAGTTTAAAAAGTGAAAGAATGAATGTGTATTATATTGATACTTTAATTCTTTTAATGTATCAGACAGCTCATGGAAGTTGTTGAGAAAGGATTTCTAGTTTTAAGCAATCAGCCTAAAATCTCAATATTGCTTGCTATGATATAGCAACTAAACAGTTACCTTACATTTTCTAACGTCTTCTACTCCAAATTGAAATCATGAAAATGTTATCTCATGTCTCACCAAAATGTTAGTAAATAAATAGAGTTTTTATTGATAATGCTCTTGCTTTTAGTTGTGCTGTAGTTGTGATGGGACATACTGTATGTATGAACAATCCAGTGAGAGTTTACACTACATGGTGCATCAACGCTGGACTGGTTTGTAGGGAAAATTGTAAGGAATGTATGGGAAACTAAGAGCTCAGGGGCAGCCGGATTACGGATATCTAAGCATTTTACACCCAAACTTGTCAAGCACATTTTCAAGCAGTTTCACAAGACGTACGTTTTAATAAAATAAACTAGTAAGCTTGTGCAAATTGAACCGAATCAGACAATGCAAAAAATAGCCATAGAAGTCAATTTCAGTTCAATGTCTTTGTTCTGTTGTTGGAGCCTCTGCTGCCTATTGTGGTGAATTTCTCCAGCATTGCCCTCGATTTTGAGATGTGGACTGTTCCCACAGATAAGCATTGGTGTTGTGAATACTGGATCTGTTTTTCAGAGTGTGAATGGGGGGGGGGGAAATGGCACTGTGTCATCCTCTAGCAGACCCAGAGCTGCAGCTGATCAACAGAGGGAGAGGAAGAGGGGGAGGAGGAGGGCGTGGGAGTGAGGAAACCCCACCGCTCAACATCCAGCCCCCCCTCCCCTTCTTACAAGCCTTTTTTTTTTACCTTTATAGTCTCCCCTTCAATCTCCACCGCCTTCTCCCTGAAATCCACGCCGATGGTGGCCTCGGTTTTGTCCGGGAAGCTACCCCCGGTGAAGCGAAAGGTGAGGCACGTCTTCCCCACGTTGGAGTCCCCGATGACGATGATCTTGAAGATCCGCGTCTGGATGCTCGTCTCCAGGGAGGAGGAGGCGCTCAGGTCCAGGGAGGAGGTGATGCTCGGGGCGGGATCGGTGCCGCTGCTCGCCCGGCTCCTGCCGGCTCTGTGCAGATCCATGGAGGACGTTAGGATGGTGACATTGTCGTCAGCCCGGTTCCTCCTGATGACTCCTCTCCCACCAGCTCCTCCTCCTCCTCCTCCGCCGCTGAGGCTCGGAGCTCGGGTCTCCTCCTCCGGGGAATCGTTGGTCATTATGCCGGGGGAGGCGATGCACAAGTCGGGGTGGGAGATTCGGAGAGGAGTGGGGGAGGACGGATGGATGGATGGAAGAGCGAAGGGAGGGGAAAAAGGAGGAGGAGACCAGAGCTGCAACAATACAGAGGATGCTCTCTTTCGTTTAGCTGCCTGCGGGATCCTTAAAGGGAGAAGCAGCATAAAAGATAAAAACAATCACTTAGGCCTAACAAAATTACCTCATGAAAGGAATAAATGTAACATGGGGACGAGAGACCGTCACGGATGGGATTCAAAAGTTTTTAGTTCATGCATCATTGTGTGTGTAAGTTGTTAGGGGACCACTCCTGTGTCCTTACATATCTGAAACAACCACTTGGTTGCCTAAATTTAGTTAATTATGTCAGCAAATCTGACACATTTTAAGAGGACTCACCAAAAGAATGTATTTTTTTACGTGGAAAAATTATATAACTGACCAGAAATTAAAAAACAGAAATTTGTTGATGTAGGTTTTGATGACAGCATTTCGCAATAGACTTATAGGTTAATGTTATATTTAATGTTATCATCCATCTGGTACAATATGGCAGACAAAGATTCCCCCCTGGCATTTTTATGTAAATATAGAGACTTTTCTGCCCACTGGGACTAAAGAAAGGACATTTGAAAAAGAATGGCAATTAGTAACAGCTTGTAACATTAAAAGAACCACAGGCTGAATTCAGTTAGACGTTGTGGATTCTGTGGTGATTCTTTTGACTGATGCACTTAATCTGTATAGTTGAATTTATTTGTACATGAAGCTGCCACATAAAACAGCATAAGCCTGGAAATACATTCCACACTTTGTTTAGTTACTGGTGAGCCTTCCTATGAGGTAAAACGTGTGTCCACCTGGAACACACTGAGCAGTTCAAATTTGCTTAAAGATTCATGCACAGGTAACAATATAATTTAATTGAATAAAATCTAAAGATGTTGTTTTTTTTCAGATCAGAGTTAACTGTTGGTATGTTGCTAATGATACGTTTGTAGTTCAGCTATGAGAGCTCTTCCAGCACTGGTTTTTCGTCCTCCCAGTGGGACCATTATACTGGCACTAAATGATTTACTTGTCTCTGCAAGAGACCATTTAAAGTCACAGCCATCACAGCCACAGCTTTATATTAGAATTAAACATAGGAGATGCTGTCCCAAAAAGTGAAATGCAAATTTCCTTCAGCAAAAACCTTTGTAATTTGTCTCATTACTTTGGTTGAAAGTTAGCTCTGCTCAATGCCATGAAAAATGTAAAGAAGACATTTCCCATGAAGATTAAAACCCTAAATAAGTGCTGGCCAAAAAGGGACGAAAAATGACATTGGCTGCTATTGAAATGTAGCTCTTCCTCAGAAAGTGAAACAGATTTTCCCAGACGATCCGGTCACATGATCTAATCACCCGGTCACTTCACATTCCATGCATCAAAACTTTTGTAACGCTGAGGATTGCAAAGTCCCCAGATTCCAGACCTGATTAAGGTAATGTGAGGAGTTATGTCTGTTCAGGACTAAATCAATACATAGATTTATTTTCAAGCAGTTTTGTTGTGATGCAATACTGTTACCAGCTCTCCCTGTTAGGGTTAGTGTCTAACCTTCCAGTTTGTGCTGAGCAGGCATTAAGTGATGCAGATGGCAACAGCTGGAAAACCTTAAGTGAGTGACCCTAAAACCAATAGATAATCTAATTAAAGGCTCAATAAGAAATAATTGATAGCAAAGGTAAATGTTGTGTCAAAAAGAGTAAAGGCTAAACTAGAGTTTTTTAAAGTGGCAGGACTTACCAAAGGGTCTTCAGTAAGTTTTATCAAAAGTTTATTTAGTGGAAGTGAGGAAATGTTAGCTTGGTTATTGTATTTCTTTTTTAAAAGGAGCTCACTTTCAAGAAACTCAATGTGTGAGACTGGAAAGGAGTCATAGATCGATTACTTTTGGAGAAATTTTACCATTGAACATTTCTGTGGAGTTTTTTTTTCATATTCCTCTCGTGTATGTCTAGATTCTCTGAATATTCAGACTTTCTCAAAACATCCAAACACATGCATCTTAAACTAACCGGGTGACTCTAAATGAACCCCGGTAGTGAATGTAACCAGTCCAGGATGTGCATTTCCTCTTGCCCAGTTACAGCTGGGATAAGCTCCCGCCTCTCTGAAATCCTAATTGGAATAAATGTGTTTAGAAAATGGAAGTATGGATGTAATTTCTTTTTTAAATAACCACGACAACAAAAGTCCAAACAACCGCAGAGTTAAAACAATCACACACTAAAGAAGAACTAAAAGGCAGACAGGGAAACTGGATGCAATTTAAAACTTAACTACAAACCTCAAAACAAACACAGAGGTAAATAAGGCCACTTTAAAGACACATAAATATAGTCTAAACTAAGACACAATAATCAACAACAAAAAGATAAAAAATAACTAAGATACTCAAAACATCAAGAAGACCACAAACAACCATAAAAACAAACAAAAAATGTTAAGGAGGATAAGAACTAATGCTTACTTTTCGACCAATCTATTTTCAAAATGTTTTTCTCATTATCTGTCAAAACAGAAGTAATTGTAAGTGTGGATGAGATCAAATTAAACAACAATGACCATCCAATAAGGATCTAGATACCGAGCTAAATAAACAGGAGTTGGCATCTTAAGATTATGACAGGAAACCAAGAATCCCCAAACAATTGAGTTATTTTTTGTAAAGCAAGAAAACTGATGTTGTGAAGGCAATAAAAGAAATGTAATAAATAAATCAAAGTGTGTCACTCACCTCTAGAGTAACACCCCAGCAGAATCCCCCCTCAGAGTCACACACACACACACCAAATCTGGTTCATGTGTGTACAGCCTCCCTGTCTGGCTGCTGATATCAGACTGAAAAGCAGACAGAATCCCCAAACCCTTGCTCCGTTTCTCCCCTTGTGGCGTGTTTCTCACACACAAACACACACACATGGGTGTGCCACTGGCTCATTGTGCAAAACAATCCCACACAGACACGATCTCTTCCAAACAGACGCGCACGCTTTCTCAAAGAGACTCACATAATCTCTTTCTCACACAGACGCTCGACAAACACGCTCTCGCAGTGTCCGACAGTCCTAAGGCCTTCTGTCTGACAAAGCGGCCTTCATCCTCAGTAAAAAGGCCTGTTTGTCTGGCAGCGATACTCAGTGGGACATTCACATTCTGGCGAACACAAACAGACAGTGAAATATAGAATTCATTTTCATTACACATTTTGATTTGGACTATTTATCCTTTTTGACATTTACATACGTGGTCGTGAGATTATGACCCCTCTCGCTGTCGGCCTGTTGTTCTGCACGTTCTCACTGATTCACTGACAATTCAACAGCAGCAACCACTTGCGTTTAAAGTGAAATACAATATCGGAGATAAAGTCAGTGTTTTATTTGGAATACCTTAGACAGTAACTAATGCTACTTCTGGACTTTCACCCAAATCTGTGTAACAGTTCACGCTTAAATGGCTCCAAATGTAGATAAAGCACGATTTAGTTCCATAATAGTTCAACTACACAGCTTATATAAAAGATATATATATATATATACTGTATATTACCTTTGTCATGTAGTTTAGCCTGATTATTCATTTTTGCAGTTTACAGTCTATAAGAAGAAGTCAGATAAATATGTATGGTACAGTTTTGTAATAGTTTCCACTATAAATGAATGCCTAGCCTACTGAGCTATGTGAAGATGGTGCAATATGGCCAATGATATAACAAAAAGATATAGGGGTAACTTTCAGTTTAGTTGATTTATAAACTTAGAAAGTTGCCTTTGTTGCTCACCAGTGGCAAGGATTCCAGGTCAGATCTTAACTTTATTTTTAACTTCATCCTGACCCTAAAAATGTCCATAAAACAGTCCAAATGGCAACATGTTAAAGTAACCAGAGATTTCAAATAAATCGTAGGCACTGTGTGAGTAAGAACCAACTCTGGGGTAGAATTGTGCCAAGATTGTATCCCACGGCAACTGATAAAAGTTGTTTCTACATTTGAGTGAATACATGTATTAATGTAATTTTGTATGCATCCTGTTTATCTACATTTGTTTAAAAAAAACACAAAAAATACATTGTCAGCAAAGTGCAAAACCACATTCTTTGCAATATTCAGAGTGAGTGTCATCCACTTTGATTCCAAGCCCCACTGCCCTTGTGTTAACGGAGGAAAGAAGCAATGTATGAATGGGTGAATGAGAGACAAATAATAGAGACCTGTATGTTTTATTCACTTATAAATTACATACTTAAATATCTTTATGTGCACTGGTCAAAGTTTTCAATCTACCTATGATGATTCATGTATAAAAGATATTTATATGTATGTATATATATATATATATATATATATATATATAGTACATCACTGATTAATGTGCAGAGCAATAATAAGGAATAATCCTCACTTAAAATGTATTATGGCACTTGAAATATTTTTGACAGAGCCACAGGTATAAATAATGAATAAGTGAAATTGACTTTTCTTTTTTTAAATGAACCATGAACCATCACAGATTTTGTTATTTTGTTAGCTCTGAGACACGAACAACTAAAACTTAGAAACCTGATGACACTGTAAATTATGTTTCTGTTAAAACAGAGACAACAATAGGCATATACTTGGAAAAGTATGTATATCCCAAGAAGAAAAGTAAAAGTGACCCAGGGGAGATCACAAACTGTAACTCTGTGAAGGAGGATGGAAGGAGAGGGGGTGGGCTGGGGGTTGGCAGAGTTTGGACAAAATTCTTCAAAGAAGAGCACACATACAAACAAACAACAAAAAAATCTTTAGGTACAAAAGTTACAACTGCAACACAAATATCTTAAGCAAAGCCATAAGTCAGACAGTTTTAAGTCTGCCAGCAGAGCGTCCCTATATTGAACAGAAATGGAAAAATCCCATCCACTCATTGTCAACAATGAGATTCTGTTATGAGATAACTGTCACTCATACAACTTGTAGGTATGTCGATTTGAAATCTGTTCCAAGGGCATTTTTAGCATTGCATTTGTAAATACCAGAGTGTGTGAGTACAGGATTCTGTATGACCAGACTACCCTCATCTGTCATATGAATTCCTCCCTGCACTGTATACCGGTTATGTGGCAGCAATGTTGTGCGCCCAGGTAACGTCCATGAAATATCAGGCTTGGGGATACCATTTGAGACACATTGTAACATCACTGGTGTTCCCCGGATGACTCGGGTAATGGAGGCCAAGGGGCTGGTGATGCGTGGAGGGAAGACCATCACCGCTACTGGGTAGGAAAATGCCGAAGAGCCAAACGTGTTAGATGCTTTGCAGGTATATGTTCCTTTGTCAAAAGCGGCCACCTGCCTGACTCGGAGGGTCCCATTGGTGAAGAGAGCCATTCGGCCAAAAGTTTGAGGTTTTTCCAGAACAACGCCGTTGGGAAGGGTCCATGAGATCGATGCCTTCGGCCAGCCATCCACATTGCAAAGTAGGTTGAGATCGAGGCCATAAGTGATTTTTATCCCACCTTGATAAGAAAACTTATGTCAGTACTTATGTTCCATGCAAACAACTAACACAGTAAAGGGAAGCAATATTCTTAAAATTAATTCAGTGAACCTGGAACAATATCAATGACTACAATTCTAATTTTCACTTCATTTTGGTAGAATAAATTTTGAACTTAACATCTCTACATTAAGTATACATCTGAATGTGAATACTTTACACAGGAGAGACATTATGGAGAGGATAAAAAGCATAGTTTGCAAGTTAAAAGTAAACTGCTCTTTAGCTGACATTTGCTTGTTTAAGATCGGACAAACCAAGTATATCATCAATTCATACCTGTAGATCCCCTGATGACTGGCTTTCTGCCAGCCTCCAGGGCATAACGTTTCTCTGCTTGTCCTGCCACATTTTTTGCCAGACACCTGTAGACTCCCTTATCGGTTGCCATCGGTTGAGAGATCCGAAGCGTTCCGTTTCCATAATAGTGGTTGAAGCGCTGAAGTCTAAGACCAGGTGGTAACATTGTGCCGTTGGGTAGCAGCCATGAGAACTCTGGGTTTGGCTTCCCACGGGCAGGGCACTCCAGGATCAGTTCACCTCCGTCTAGTTTTATTGGTAATATCTCAATATTGGGAACAGCAAAACTAGGTTTTTCGGCCAATGACGCCACTTCTAAATCTACTGTAAGCGAAGCTTCACCCAGACTGTTTTTAGCCAGACATGTGTACCTGCCTTCGTCAGTCTTCCTTACCCCCCTCAGTTCCAAGCTCCCATTTTTATGGACTTGGAAGCGACCTCCAAGGTAGGGTGTTGCAAGCGAGTGGCCATAAGGAGTAATCCACCAGACTTTTGGTGCAGGTTTTCCCTCCACTCTGCAATCCAGAAGGGCGGTTTGGTAGGAAACACCCAAAAGCTTTGTAGAACTTTTCCCTTTCATATTGTTGATCAAAGGTTCCTGAGGCTCCACTTCCAATATCATGTTTTTTATATCATCACCAGCAGAATTCCGTGCCACACATGCATACTTTCCTTCATCGGCCAGTGTTGCTTTCTTCACAACTAACATCCCATCTTCCATGATCCTAAATTTGTCTGATGTCACTTGTATCACATCCTTTTGTGGAGAGAGCCACATTATTTTTGGTGTAGGTTCCCCCGTTGCATAACAACTCAGTTTAGCAGATTCCCCTAATTTTACTTTAACCAGCGATTGTGATTTAAATCCAATTTGAGGAGCATTTGGTCCCACTTTCACATTCACTTTTTTTTCATCTTTCCCAAGTTTGTTCTTGGCATGACAAGTGTAGTCACCCTCATCTTTCTTGCCTATCTGTTGCAGAAGTAGTGTTCCATTCCCAAACATGACATAGCGGCGATTACGAAGGCCACTGTCATCTGACTGAAGAGCATTGTTGATTAAAGTTCCGTCAGGAAGACTCCAGGAAACTTCTGGATCAGGGAGGCCAGTTGCAACACAGTCCACCTGGGTGAGAGGAGTAGAAACGAGTTTGAACAAGTTAGTTTCTAGTGTTGGTCTCTACTAACAACCGGAGTACTATGGCAAAAACCATTTTAAAAGCAAGATTAAATGAGAAAAGTCCAATAGAAAGTCTGATATTCTTAATGACTAAACAGCTACCACAAAAGATGGACTCATTTTTCAACTAATGATGTTTAATAAAGGATATTCAGCTTTTACTCAACTTCAAGTTTCAACTATGTACCTGGAAATTTTCTCCAAAGGTGACCCTGGTTTGTGCAGTCCTGACATGTTCAATTCTGGGAGGGGTCATCAACACCTCTACCTGTTAAAGTAAACACATTGTTTAAAAAATACCATAAAAGTAATTCATTTCACTCCAAGTCTACAAATCTTCTAAATCAGGGGTCTCTTCTTATGGTGTTCTCTCCTGTTCTGTGGATTATGTTTATCTCTGTACTGGTTCCTAAATTCCCCCGATGCAAGGATCAGGAGCTATGCTTGAATTGTAGCAACAAAGATGATATCACATGTATAGCATGCCTAAAACGTCGGGTTCTAAGACCAAGTACTACCAATCTCAAAACTCTTGACACATAATCGGATATATTAAATACTGTATATCACAGAAATATTACGAAACTATGCAGAGTCTAGTCTTTAGTCTACTATAGTGAGCCAGTAGCCAATGTTAAAGGTGAATTCAGGCTTAGAAACTCTTAAAAACTGGAGACACATTGAAAAAGCGTATGGTAGTGGAGGTAACCATCTGTCATCATCAATAGAAGAATCAGATTATTTATATCTGTAAAAATTACAGACTATTATCACAGCTAAAAAATGGTGCTAATCAAAGTAAAGGTTCAACCAACTATGACGAAAACAAGTGGACCTTGTAACTAGTAGAGATGGATTCTTTTGGGATCATAGATCATGAAAATCTGGCAGATGTAGTGCCTCATGCAGTAACACAAAAGTACTCATTTGTGATTCTAGTTTTGACATATACAGTTTAATGTAATAGTTTTGGCTTTTTAACCTTTTTTTAAAAACCATGCTTGGACACTGATGCCCTTCAGGGTTGACCGGGGAGTTCTGATTAACTCTAAGTGACCTTGTAACTGCTACAATTTATTAGCAAAATAAAACTCAAATCTCGATTCACTTTCTTTCCTGTTTATACCTGGAAAAGTTCCATTTCCTCTCCATTGGGCCGCTGAAAGATGCATTGGTAATTTCCACCATCGAGCTCAGTTAGCTGTAGAATCCTTAGAGTCCCATTACGGAAAACTTTAATTGGTCTCTCTGGGCTGAAGGGAGAATTGAAGGAAACAAGTGTGGCTTTGATTAAAGCAGTCAATCATGTTCAATGGCAACTTGCAGCTTTTAAAGTATTCACAACTTCACTATTGCTGTGCTAGCTCATGGAGTCACAATAGCAGATATTTCAGTTGCCTGTATCGATGCTCCAAAAATATCCTTGAAGGTAGCTGCCAGACGGTCCCTCTGGAGGATCCAGTGGACTCTGGACAGTGGAGGTATACAGCAGAGCCATACATGGCTGAGACTTTATGCTGACGTAATGGAGTGGTGTGGTGGTTGGTTGGAGGGATGGGAAGAGGAGGAGGAGGAGGAGGTGGCTGATGTGAGGAGGATATATCTTCTGTCACCTCCAGCTGGATAGTTCTTTTTGCGATACCCACTGTATTAGTGGCCAAACACTTGTACCTGTTAAGATAAATTGATAGCAGCTTGGTTACATCTTTCAATCTCATCCATTCTAGAGGATCTTGTAGACATCAGGGAGTTTTTATTATAAAAACGGCACATTCAAAGAAGGACCTTTAAGTACTATGAATAAAACTGATGTTTAAATTCTAAATCCTCCATTTAAACGGCTTCAAATTGTATAGATATGGTATTTATATTGGTTTACATTTAGATAAATACATATCCATAACATAGGATTACGGCAACGTCTTGGTTTTTCTATAGTTACTTGATTTTGGACAGGCCAAGATTCAGCAAAGCCTAAACTGACAATCTAGAGATAAGGCATCATCAGTTTTTTTTTATCCATAGATTTAGTTCCTTACTATGCCAAGATGTATCTATCTCAAAATATCATAGCTGAGATGAGGAAGCATAAACACAATTTTCCCATATGGTGGTGGCACAAACCAATTAAACCAAAGCTTAGTCCCTTGAGAATATTTGAGATTTGCTGAGAGGAGTCTGTAGTCACAGGCACAAGGCCTCCATGGATGGATGGATGAAATTAAAGCATATTAGATGGACTTAAGAGTCTACATCTTTACATATTATACATCTTTTGTTATTAGGTCGAAAATTGATGGAAAGTGGATATATAATTCAAGAAAGTTGGACTTAAGGGGATTTAAGGGCATTCAAATGCATGACAAGATTAATTCGTATTGAGAACCGCATGTCCTTATTTAAACTCAAACTTGCAAAAAGACACAAACAAACAATATTAATATTAATGCAGATGAAAAAAAGTGCACATCTCTCACCTCCCACTATCAGATGGCAAAACATTCTTCATAAAAAGTGTGCCATTGGGGAAGATGAATATCCTGCGTCCGAGAAACTGTGATGGTTTAACATTGGTGCCGTCCGGCAGCATCCATTTCAGAGTAGGCACCGGCTCACCCTTGACAGAGCAGTGAACATACACGCTCATGCCTGTTCAAGTGGGATTTTATTAGATTAGAAGAAAACATTTCTTGCCAGCCTCATAGAAAATATTCGCAATTGCGTTTGAATCTTTGTATCTTACCTGGTTGGATGATCACAGTGTCCGTTGACCCTTCACCTATGCTTGGGGGTAGAGCTGCCACATGGAGGTTATAAGTGATTGTATCAGCACCCGCCGCATTGCTTGCGATGCACTTATAGTCCCCTTTGCTCGAAAAATTGGCAGAATGAATATGCAGGGTTCCATTTGGGAGCAGAGATATTGCAGAGAGTATAGTGTGGACTGTCCCGGGTTCTCTGACAAATGTCCTGTCGGGGAGAATCCAGGAAATTTGGGCTGGTGGTTTTCCAGAGGCAAGGCAGTCCAAAGTCACACTCTTCCCTAAGTAGATTGCTATATTGGTGGATTTATGTGTCTGGATCTTTGGGGCTTGGGTCTGAACGGCTAAAGTGATGACCATCCGATCTGATCCAAAGTTGTTGTGGGCTGTGCACAGGTACTGTCCACGATCCTGAAGTTGGATATTTCTAATGACAAAGGTTCCATTTTTGAAGACTTCAAAACGGGGACCATGTTTAGTGTTTGCTGGGATGGTGGCACCTGTTGAGAGAAGACACACAAGACAGTGGAGAGAGAAAACAGGCGACACTCTTTCACCTTTGCCTTCGTTCTATCTTTCTCTCTCCAACTTACCTGTGGAGACCTTTGTCCATGCAATGGTCGGTTCAGGACTCCCAGTAGCTTTGCATGGCAGAAAGGCATCATTCTCTGCCAGCACTAACACACTTGCTGTGGTCACCGTGATTATGCGGGGTTTCATCCTTCCACCGCCTGATCCCAACAGCCATGGGAAAGGTGGTGCTGCTGTGGGACGGCGAGAGCTGACTCGTCCTGTTAAATCATGGGACACCATGAAAGAAAAAATTAAATGTAACACCTGTCATCATTGGATTCAATTTAATTTCCGTTCTGCACATACCTCCTACAGGCCACCCAGCTTCATACAGAGCTAGAGAGGTGGTGTGATGATGGGGAAGAGGTGTGGGGATGAAACGGTGGAATGGTGAAGATGTAGGCTTCGTGGGGTTTAAAGGCTGCAGATGGTAAGTGTAAGAAGCTGTAGGTGCCGGCGGTTTAAGGGTGTATGGCCTATACAAGGATGGAGTGTCGGGTTTTGGTGTGATGGGGTGTCGAGGATTGTAGAAGTTGATGTGAGGTTTTGGGGTCACTATCCTCCCCAACTGGGCAATGCGATCCAGCTGTGCCTGAAAAAGTCCAAAGCATTTGTTTTCCATGTTATTATTTTTATACTTATTATTTTTAGAACCTGATAAATGCTTTACTTCCAATAATTTGCAGGACATAATATATCCCTGTAATAAACTAGTTTGCTAAATTATGTTATATTTCATAACAAACTAATTATGTTCTCCATATAGTTTTAAGGCTACTGGTGAGTACATCCGTCAGAAAATATGATCATCTATCCATCAGTTACGCCATTCATTCATCCCTCCATCCATTTTTCTGCTGCCAATCTGGAATAAAGTTTTCTGGGGGAGAAGTCTTAGCAGAGACACCCTGATTTTCCTTGTCTTTTCTTCAGCCATTTGCTCTGATGGTAAACTAATGCCTTTCCACTAGTGTTTCCGTAATAGTATTTTTTTCCCTTTCAAACTGAACTGGTAGGATATGCGGGGACGCCAACTAACTTTTAAATCTGCCACAGAGATGCCTTGATTCTACGTCTCAATCTCCCATAGAGTTTACACAACTAATAAACAAGATTGCAAAAAATGCCACATTTGATATGTTCTAGTTAACAGAAACTTTCTTCATGGTTAGGGTTGATAACCATCAATCATTCATGCTAAGCTGGTTAGTTAGAATCTCTGGTCTATTTTCGAAGCAAATTTCAAATAGGATCTGTACACAAGCGAAAAACACGAGACTTATTGTGGATACCCACAACTCTTGGGATACCTGTCTGTATCTGTTCCTGAGCCTTGAAATAAACAGATGATCTCTTGTTTGGGGGACATGTTGATTTGGATGATGCTGATTGTAACTGGACAGTGTGAATTTGGAGTTTGATCCAGGGACGACAGGAGTGGGTTTTACTGTTTCGGCTGTGATCTCTGGTCGGTTGGTCACAAATGAGCCGTGAGCCCAAGGGTGGGGGAAGGCCCAGGGCCGATGGGTTGCTGTGGTATGTGACCAAGGATCTAAGAGGAAAACGTGCTTTGTAACTAGAATTATATCGACATATCTTAATGTAATACCAATTCAATATTAGTAAGTCAAATAAATGTTCTTTTCTTTACTGTTGAACATCTTCATTTTACAAAAGTTTAAGAAAAATAAATCATCACATAACAGCTGTATTTACCTTGTCTCGGTTGGGGAACTGACCTCTGACCTGGCCAGGAAGGATAGATGGGATAGTAATGTGGATGATGGTGTTGTGAATGCCAGCGGGAGGTTGGAGGAACTCTGGGAGGCTGGGAGTGCCTCCCTGGATTCACCTCACCCTGCCTTCCTGTATTTCTCTCTTGGTTGGTGAGGGTTTTCCTGGAATTGGTGGTTTGTCCTCTTCCCTGATTGGTCTGATGAAGCCAAGGGTGAAGTGGCTCCATTACGGGAAAACGCTGAATTTCAGGCTTCTCAGTTGGCTTGGTAACTACTTTATCCTGTCTTTGTGTGACCTCTTCTCTTCCTCTGCCCCTTGTTGTAAACATCTTGGTGGAAGTATGTTTTACATGGGTTGTTGCATCTTTTTCAGGTGGAGGTCGAATGTTGGGTCTTGGCCTGTTATGTGTTGTTAACATGATGTTTTCCTGTGTGTTATAGCTCTCAGTAACCAATTCTGTTTTTGAGCTTTCTTTGTCTTTCTCAGTTCCCTCTGTAGCTTTTGTATGTTTTTCTTGCTCCTCTGCTGGTCTTTTATCCTCACTCTCCTTCTGCTGGGCAACATTTTTATAATTACGGCTGTTTTCCTCTGTTTTTTGACTCACCTCCACTTTCTTTATCCCATTTTTCTGTATGCTTACATCATCTTTAGTGGTAATTTGAATTGTACTATCTAGCTTGGGAGTAGCAATTGTCTCTGGAATAGGTAAAGTTTTTTCACTTACATGGGGACTTCTCTCTGTAACTGATGGAGAAGGGATCATGCTTCCAGAATGTTGATTGTTCTGGGGGTTTTCATTGCTTGCATCTGTTTTAGCATCCAATGTGTCGTCATTCGCATCATCATATTCTTCAAGATACTCCTGATCATCATTATCAATGTGATACTCTGCAGACAAGGATTCGTTGTAGTCCTCTGTGCTGGGAACAATGACTGTTGTTGTAGCAGTTGTGGTGGTTGTTGTAGTTGTAGTTATTGTTGTTGGGATGGTAGTTGTTACTGGTTGAATGGTTGTTTTGGGTTTGTTTAATGAATTACTTAGATGTGGATGGATTCTTCTCATTGGGGGCTTTCTACGTCTAAAAGGGGGCCTTCTCCTGTTTGGCCAACTGGGAATGAAGTTTCTTTTTCCCTCACCAAGGTTCTCATTTTCTGGCTGTTTGATGGGTTGATTAGTTCCAACAACAGAAGGGTCTGTAACAGCTTGAACATCTACATGCTGTCGAGAGGGTGTTGTGCTTACAGGATAAGCAGGTTGCGAAACCTTTAGCTCATCTTTTAGTGTTTCAGATACTTTGAATGGTTTAGAATTTGTTGGCTCTATGTATTGAGTTGCTGGAATATCCTGTAAGTTGCTTCTTGTGGTTGTTCCAAGCGCAGTTGTGGTTATGAATGTTACAGTACTGGGCTCCTCTAGCGACTGCTCTGTTGGCAGAGCATCGCTTGGTTTAGCGTTAGCTTTCGCCAATATCTCTGCCCAACGATTTGGATCTAATTCTTTAACAGATTTATTGGGTTTTCTTTTTGGATCTCTTAATCGCGTCCTTTTAAAAAAAGGCTTTCTTTGTGGTGCCCCTACCTTGTCTGGGAGCTGTGTAGCAAAAGGACGTTTAATTTCCTGATAATCTTCCCCTGAACCCTCTTCTTCCTCCACACCAAGTGGCACGGTTGGCTGCTCTCTTTCAGTCTGCACTTTGGACTTTCCTCCGGTAACTTCCACTACGTGGGAAAGCATGTCAACTCCATACAAATTGGAGGCCAAGCAGCTATATTCACCTTCATCCCCTTGTGTGAGCCTCCTCACCACCAAAGTCCCATTTTCTAAGACCTCTGCCCTTCTCGACTGCTGTGTGGGGAGGAGGACTTGGTTTTGGGGCAGGTACCACATAATTTGGCTAGGCTGGACTGAGCTCACTTCGCAAGGAAGAGAAAGGGAGTTACCTTTCTTAACTATCATTTTCTGACCGTTAAAAGCTGTGGCACCGAGAGAACGTTCCTTGACGGTAAGTCTCAGTGGTATCAAGTCCACACCTGCTTTGGTTTTAATGATACAGTGGTAGAGACCCGAGTCAGACAGCGTTGCATTTAAAATGACAAGTTGCCCCGTCTCTGAAATGTCTATTTTATCCGTAGCATCTTCCACCGTGGACAAATCTGGAAGCATCCACTGCATTTTTACCTCTTGATGAGAGGTAACAACACTGCACCCCAAATTAACTTTTGAACCCTCAATAGCAGATTGAACCCGGCCAGGCGTCCCTCTTCGAATAAATGCCCATGAAGTGTCAAAGTCTTTGTCATCCCTGTTGAAGTCCTCTGTGATTATGGTAGAGAAATCCATTACGAGTTTCTTTGTTGTTGTCTGCTGCCTATTAAGCTTCAACGTGACTCTGGGTTGAAGCAGCCATGAAGGTTCTGCAACCAAATACCCTTTTAACTCTGTGAAATATGGGGAATTTTCATTTACTGCTTGGACATACTGGTAGGTCAAGCTGCTTGTATTGCCTCTCAGGTGACCTCTTTCTAAAATCGCCGGGCTTTCATAGTAATATGCCACCAATTGCCAGAGATTTTGCAACATTTCCCGATCAATTTCGCACTCGAGAGCTGTCATCAGTGACACATTTACAGACAGCTCTGCGGGTGAACGTGGATTTACGCTCCATGCCATGGGGGAACTGTCACCAGGATGGCGCACATCACATGCCACATGGGCATTGTTTCCATGGCTGTCTGAGAGAACGATCGTCAGGTGGCCCAATGGTTTTTCTAAGTCCCGGGTATATGGGACATCTGGCTCTGCTTCTGACTCTGCCCACACAGGATTGTCCCACTGTTTGAGGGGGGAGCGAAGAGTTGGACGTTCACAAGTAAGCTTGTCTGGAGTTAAGTCTAAAAACTGTGTGCCATTCATATGTTGAGGAAAAGAGCACTGGGCACATGTCTCACTGGATCCGCGCTCCTTCTTACATTTGATGACTCCTGGAAGAAGATAAAAAAGAAAGAAAATAAAGAGCTCTAAAATAAGAGTGACAACAGTAATAATGATCTAAGATCTAAGAAGCTGCAGGTAAGGATTAAGAAAGAGAAGCACAGTAAAAGAAAATTGATACTTTGAGACCTGTACATAGTGGTATGTATTAGTACCTATAAAGAATGTCATACAGATAAAATTGTGTCTGACCTTGCAGATAACATGGTATCTTTAACATCTTCTAATACTGTTTAGAAAGATCTGATCCTGTTTTGTGTTGATGCGGGCTATAATCATAATGATACATTATCTACTGTGCTCATGGCACAAACAGCAAGCACATGGGGCTGATCAACGATGTTTTGTTAGGACAAAACAAATCACTGATGGATGTGCTGGAAAATGACAAAATGAGAAAGAAGAGTAAACTGTTTGACCATTTTGGGGGAGTGCAGTATATGAAGATGTTCATTGAGAGTTTTTATGTCCTGCAGAATCCTCATGGGAGCATTGCAACATGCGCCGAAACTGTTGTGCGTCTGTCTAAAGACGTCCTCATCGACCCAATGATGTACCACTGCTCAGCCCCACATCTGCGTGTGTTTACTGTGTCCCAAAATTCGGATCAGAAACAGATTTCTTGTTAAGAGTGAGTGTGTTCTATAATACCAACTTGCCCCCACACACTTAGAATGTTTCACCTCTGTTACTATCTCACTTCAGGGGAATTAGCTTTTTCAGAATTACACAGAAAAAAAAGCATGAAACATGAATTGATTTTTTCCAAATACTTGGGACCAAAAACTGACTTTAAACATAATTTGTTCCAGAACTAAACCTGGTTGTCATTCTTACAGACTCTTATTGAACAGACAGTTCATTGGTCAGGGTTAAGCTACAATACACCCTTTTTGAACCCTCTATTCTCCAAAATACAACGCATTGTGTTAAGAAAAGCTCTTTTGGGTCAGACACAACTAACACTACTGTATATGTAATGTGGCCTCCAAAAAATTTTACATTTGCAAATGACAAAGTAAAAGAGTCGCCTTCCCCTTCTAAAGAGCTCAATTTCAACATTTACAGGGTCAGGTTCCTTACCCTCATGTGCGGCACTCCATTCCAACAACCAGTGGATCTGGCAGTCACAGGTCCAGGGATTACCATGTAGTGTGAGCAGCTCCAGTCTGGGAGCTGTCTTTAGAGCTGCAGCAGGGAGCTGTTCCAGCAGGTTATCTGATAGATGTAAATGTCTAAGACAAAAATGAATAAATATATGCTTTTTAAGAATTTTGTCAATTGGTCTGAGAGAAAATGTACAATTCATTCCCTAAAGCTTTGAGGATAAGGAAGAAATAAAAATGCTTTAATACTTCCCACTTCCTGCTCGAGGAATGTGGGCTACTATTATTTTTTCTACAGAATTCTACAATTTGAAACGGTCTGCAACATAACCTGCATAGACAACTTTACCCCCAGGAGGCCAGTCTCACATTCATCTGTGACTCAGAAGAACTTAACCACCGACAGCAAACATTACCTTTTTAAAAAAAAGTTATGCAGGTATAGAAGCCAACAGTGGTTAGATGAGCTTTTTGGAATGCCAATTTTGATATCAAGAAACAATTCTTACTCTTTTAAGTCACATTATATATATTGTGATGGTTTTTAGCTATTGCAACCACTATAATTATGACCTATAGTACCTGTCAAAGGTTTAGATACACTTTTCCACACTAGTCCTAATCAGAGGAGTCTACCTCCCAGAAAAACTTTGAGAATGGAACATACGTAAAAGCTGTCCTGTTTGACTGTATCAAACAACAACAAGCATACAAGTACAACTACAACATACAACTTTAGACCAATTGAAAGTAAGGGCATTATCTCATAAGAATGTACTCTTGACGGATTCTTCATCTACAGTTAATTTACATTTAAACCTGAATAGCTTCTGTTCATTGGTTTCTTACTTGAGTCCAGAGGTCCAAAAGCTTCCTAGTATTGACACTGTAATAAAGGTATGAGGGTGTATCTCTTTGAGAAGGTTCCCCTCCAGCTGCAGGAGTTTTAGTGATGTCAGACCAGAGAAGGTGTAGGGCTCAATAAAATCTAGAAGGTTGTGGTCCAGGTGGAGACGGACCAAACCGACAAGACCCTCAAACAGACCGGGAGTCACTGTTGTTAGCTTGTTGTAACTCAGCTTCAAGATCTGTAAGAGAAACAAAAAAAGAAGAGTTGTACTTGCATTTACTAAACACAGAAACCACGCTACAATGATTGAATTAAGGGCCAGAAACGCTCCCCTCGGATGTCCAGTAAATCTGGCTGATGATGAGAGTGATCAGACGAATGTAATTGTGTTTCTCCCCACATGAGTATTGTAAATTGATACAATGTCCTGGGTTTCTCATTTTACTTGTGATGCATTTGCATGGATCTGTGCTCAGCTTAGAAAGCCAATTCAGCCTGTGATTTGAGCCATGTGAGCAGCCCTGAAGCAATCAAAGTGCATCTGATCACTGGCTTAAATGTGGTTTAGGTAGTAAAGCACTTTCCTGCTTCTCCTTCCACAATATAATGTCTGCATTTGTGTAAGGCAGGCCCACTGCTGTGTGATCTATTTTCATTGTGATTTGTTCGCTTAAAAGGAATGTAATTTCACATTCGAAAGGGGAAACTCATTCACCAAAACGCATGTTATGTAAAGCTGAACTCACACACACAGAGGTGAGTTCACACTTGAGGCTGAATGGATGCATTTTTTTCCCTCCAAATCGTTCCAACATAAGGTTTGAGGGTAGACGTAAGGAAAACAACATGTGCAAAGCAATTAAGAAGGTCTGTGAGAGTGCTTTACAAGAAATAACTGAAACCATTGTACAAGCACAAGACTTGGATGGGCTGAAACTAGCGATACTGAAAAGAAAACCAAAGTATTTTGCAGAACAATTACCATTACATTACAGGAATTAATCGTTGTTGATTGAGGCCCAAATTTAACAATGAATAAAGTGAAATAAACTTTATCTTTTTATTGTTTGTTGAAAACTAAGCTCAGATGTTTTATACAGTACCAGATAAATGTCTAAACCACCCGTCATTCCTTTATGTGCTGCCAAGAAAATGGGAAACAGTTGTGGAGATTTACTGAAACATGTGCAAACTTAAAATGAAAAAGAAGATTGAATGCAAGAAAAAAAAAACACTTCCCAATGGTGAATATGGCCAAAGTAGTGCTAGTGGTAAGCTTGCTATAGCATGACTTTTTACATCTTAATAGAAAAATGCATTGCAACAGGTTTTATAGGAAGCACCAAAACTCTTATCATAACTCGGATGGCTACATCCCTCATTAACAATATGGCAGGGTGGTTTTCCCTAAAGAACTTTTGTAGAGTTAATTTTCAGGACATAGCTGTACTATTTTACTGAGCTTCTTCACTCAAACATCGAAGAGCAGGAAACTATTCCATTATGTAAAAAAAGGATGCAGTGTCTTTGCACTTTCATGCATTTTTAATAATTCATTTTCATTTACTTTTAAAGAGGCCTTTAGAAAAGAAAAGAGAGAAAGAAAGAGAGAAAACTATTTCCGTTATAACTCCTATGTTCATCTGTTTGTATAAGTTTCAGTGAATCCCTAGTCATTATTAGGGGTCTAAACAAACAAAAAAACTCAATTAGTCTGAAAATAACCAAATGATCCAGTCATCTGAACAAAATTCTGATAAAAATAACCATAAGATAAATATAAAGATATATAATGGACCCAGAACCTTCGCACTTTGGGATGACATCGCTCTGTTCTTTCAGCACAGAAACGATAGTGTTAGATTTCAGGTTTGATGCAAAAATGCGCAAACTCACACATACACACACACACACACACACTCGCCAAAACGATACCTGCAGTGACCTCAGGCTGTAGAACGCTCCTGATTGGACTGTGCTAATGTCGTTGCCGTGTAACATGAGCATTTCCAGTTTCTTCAATGACCTGAATTCTGATCCCTCCACCTCCGTTAGGCTGTTATAACTGTAAGCAAGAGAAAAATAAGCAGAACACTGATGCAAATGCAACAGAGGGTCATACGGCTTTGGAAATGGTATAAGGAAAGGCAGAATAAAAGATATTTGAATTAGGTGTTAGCACGTATTCCTGGGATATAGGTAGATGTAGGGAAGATGGAAGTAGGGATAGCTCAGGCAACTATAAACCCACAATGATTTTCTCCTTCTTAATACTTCATTAAGTGTAGAGTTTCTTCTTCTACAGCAAAGTTGGGACCAGTTTGCCTTTGGAAGGTTAGCAATGACAAATGTGTCTTTTATTCTCACAAAACAGCAGTGCTTTGTGTCTTTATGCCTGCATTACATAATGATCAAGTGCATCCAAAGTAAAAAAACTGCATTTTTTTGTTTGTTAAGAGTTCAGGTTTCAGCATTTTGCAACAAGTTCATTGTGTTGAACCTAAGATTATTCACAAAAAAGGAACCCGCAGCAAATCACAATATGTGCTGGCAGGAACTACAGCGCCCGATAGTTTCCCCCATATGTCAGAGCTGTCAACAATGAGAGGCGGTGCTGTATCGACTGATCATCCTGCAGTGTGTCCCTGGGCTGGAAAACACAGCACAAGGTATGCTCCTCAATTGAACACACATGGGAGATTCCAGGGTTAGTGTTTTTTTCCCCCACTACCATCCATAAAAAACAGCCAACTCCCAATATATCACACGGAGTTTACTTTCATCTGGAGTGTCTTTCGGTGCCATGAATGCACACATTTTAGTGTAGGTTTCCCTACTGGGAACTGAACCTCTAACCCCTTAGCAGGGTTAATGCTTTGCTCTTTTACCATAGCGAATGCCGTTGCATTCCTCCAGTATACTGGAGCTCCGGGCATTTACAACGATGGCAACGATTTAGGCAGATTGCAGCCAGTTAAAAACTCACCAATGACGCCGTGCAGGAACATGACGTGTGACAGATAAGGCATCAGTATGTAAGGGTTTTTGTGAACCAGCCATGCTTCAAAGGCCTAATGGTCTCTGATATTGTTTGGGAAGTGCAGAACGTCCTGCAACTGTACTTGCATCCAAATTAAGCATAATCATAAGAAGAAAAAAAAAATCTTTTGTAATTGAAACACTTGACGTATTATTTTGAAGGTGAACAAGTGCCTTTCAGTAAACTATAACATGAATCTAAAAGATTTAAAATGGTATGTTATTATTTAAAATAATAGTATATATTATAATCTCATTATATACATATATGCATTTCCTCAAATACGTTTAAAGTTAAAGCTGGGTCTGCTTTTTCCTTATTGATCACTGCAACAGAAACATGCATTGGTCAGGTCACCTCTCATCTTTGGTGATGATGTTCTCCATCAAGTCTTGAACTATTTCAGATGAAAGGTTAAATTTCTTCAAGGTGCAACAAAAAAGTCCATGTTTCCCTTGTTAAAGCTTATGGTGTCCGTTCAACTGTTAACGTACAACAGGGAACACAACATAGTAACCCACAAATGTCAAGAATCCTCCGTTTGACAAAGCATTAAATCATCCTGCCCATGCTACGACATATAGATGGTGACAAAAATCTCTTAAAATACCACTAAAATTATTACAGTTGAAAATGGAATTATTGAACAACATTTGCAATCTCCACTAAAAGTTTAGTAGATACACTAAAATATTATGACACGACTTTTGGTTGACCTATGATTATTCATCTGGCAAGGTAAGACTCTTATTTATTATCATCAAGATTTTGTCAAGATGAAAAATAATCTCTGTGGTTATGTGTAGCTAAAAGTTTCTTCATTGAATCGGAAAAGGACGGCGCCACTTTTTTTTTTTTTTTTACGGTGTGCTAAATAAATCCCAGACTCCTTGTAGTGCTTATTTCACATCCAATGCATTTTTCTTTTGTTTGCTGAGATGACTGTTTCCACTCTGTGGGAGCAACATGGAGACAGTTTACCACAAGCAGACTGCAGCTTGACACCACAAAAAAAAAAAAAAAAAAAACGATTTGCAAATGTATACCCCCTACAATGCTTTGTTTCTTTTTTAGCAATAAATTAAAGCAGAAATACTCTTGACAAACGCAATACGTTTGAAAGGCAGTGAACAGCTTTTCACATTCAAATGGAACCCTCCTGTGAACAATGGAGTTGTTCCGTCCTCCAAATTTATTTATCTTTTATCTGCCATGTGAGTGTGTACTATTTCGGGCCAGTTATTAAACTTAAAGGCCAAAAACGGTGGCTGTGGTATTTACTCTGCTATTCTGCAAAGCAGCGAAAGTTCCAACCACAACACAAAGATCCACATGGAAAGGATTAGGGTTTAGTTTGGAGTCCCATGCCGGGGCTAGATCTTCATCTCACAGGTTTCAAACAGATGCTGTCAATTAAACACACCGTGAGCCACTTTCTGATTACCTCAAGCATTAGTTTGCCCTTCATGCTGGAAGGAGGTTTATATGTTTTTTATGGCAGGTTGACGTTATCTTTTCACGATCCTGACGCCTGTCTGAAAAGAATAACTACTTTGAAGGATCCAAAAGTAGGATCCATAAACTAGATTTTTTTTTTTTCTAAAGACAAAAAATGATCCTAGCTAACCAAAAAGACTTTGCTTCAACATTTCGGTTGGTGCAAATGCATTGACTGTTGATTAATGAAAATATTTAACTTCCACTGCTTCCCGCCATGCTTCTTCCACTGTTTAGATTTGCAACTATTTTGACTGGTGTCGATGTGTAAATAGGCCCATGTCCCTGTGAGTTTACGAGAAGCAATTGAGTCTTACCCGAGATTGAGTCTCTCCGTGCCTTTGGGGAAGTTTTTCGGTATGGTGGTGAGGTGTCGGAATGTACAGTGGACCTCTTTAACACCCGGACAGCTGCAGCTCCGAGGGCAGAATGGCACACCATGGACAGGCACCATCTATGAGTGCATCAAAGGTTTAAAGAAGAGTGGGAAAAGACAGTCGTATTTATAAAAGAAGCGAGGTAGGGACAGAAAGGTACCCATGTGTTAAAGAAGTGACTCTGAAAAGTAACTTAATGAATAAAAACAAACAGAAATGGTCTGAACTGTGCAAAAACTGACAGTTTAGACCCATTCTGTACAGACAGGATCTAAATGAGATCGGGCTTTAAAGAATTATTCTCAATAAATCAAGCATTTTTCTAATGATTAGAAAGAAATGATCTCTAAAGTGATACATTAATTGGACACGCCATATTGCCCCTGGGAGTGAAAGTGAGTGTGTGTGGTTGTTTGTCCCTGTGATGGACTGGTGACCGGAATAGGTAGTACAGATAATGGGTGGATGGCTACTCACTTAGTGTGGCACACTTTGTCTAAATTCCCCCCATATCTTTTTTTAACAAACTGCAAAATTAAACAATCCTATGGAATCAGCATCCATAACATATCCAGAGCCAAACGCAATGGATTACATAATTTACCGTTTGCAGAAGAATGGATGAGAAGAGCAGAGGAAGCCATGCTGCAGCCAACCTGCAGGTGTTTCTGGTGCAAAACCACGGCACCATGACGGCCGTCGGATCACTCACGCCATGAACAAAACCTGCAGAGGGGAGAAATCAATCGATCGGAGATTTAACAAAAAAAGAAATAAAATAAAAAAGTAAACAAAAGGGTTGGAATTAATTTTGGAAACGGCAGAGAGATGTTTTCTAACATAAAAGTGAAGTTGTATAAGGGAAACACACGGGTTGAACAAGCAAGGAGTCATCACAGGAGAAGCGCAACGTTGACGCAAAATGCTTCAATAATAGAAAATCTACATCCAAAGAAATAAAAGCAAAAAATATGTTGATTTCCTTCCAGAAGAGCCAAACATACACCATCACCAACAATTACACTAATGATGACAAGATTACAAGGTGCTAAAGAGAGGCAACTAATAAAGACTGCAAATGTCAGAATGGAGGCGATAACCTTTTGGATCAGGTCGAGCAGAAAGAAGGGCTACCTTAAAAAAAAGAGCCACATTTCTTTATTCATTGATGAAATTTGGAACTTCAGAAGAGATATAGTGCAGGGTATACGTGAATATCTGTAGTTTACCCTCTAAATCTTCACTTGTCTAAAGTAATTTCCCTCATTTCAACTTTCATGTTCTTATCTTCTTGTAACGTAGTCTCAAGACACCAGTCTTCTTGATTCTAATCAATTTGTTAGGATCATATATGGAAATGGAAGTACTCTGGTAGGAGCGACAACACAGGCAAACATTAAAAACATGATTCCATGTGATCAATTCAATAGCTTAGATGGATGCTTTGTAAAGAATTAGGGTACAATTAGTTCCTGAGCAGTTTGTTTTGGCCCTTAAAAAGCAGTGGAGACACGCATGTCTTCCAATTTCTATTCTATTATTCCACTCTCCTTTTTAGATTACAGCTGGTTTCCAACAATCTTTAAGATGCTGAATGCTTTATGTACTTCTGACTTTGTCTATCTGATGTGGTGCCCAAACTGTTGGGCTCCAATTATACCATGAAAATGTATTTTGTCCATAGTATTCAAGCTACATGATGTGGTTTACTAAAGATAAGAATTGGTAGATAAGCCTGAGTGGATTTCAGAAATCCTGTTCTAAATTATATTATTTAGTGTTTCATTGAGATTAAATAAAATTATTTAATTAAATTATAATTCAATTGACATTTTATGGAAATATAACATCATTGCATAAGGGTATTACCCTGGGTTCAATTAGTCTGTACAAATACATATTCACCCTTTGATCTCTTGACTTCTCTCCCCTGGTAAAACTTTGTGACAGCACTAGTGCATTTATCATCTCCAGTTTAGATGACATTTTAGCTTCCACTTAACACGATGAAAGAGCAGCATTATCATAATGTAAAGCTCAACGCGTCACATTAACAAATTCTCTCGACAAGCCCAAGCTGGCGATCACATCAGGAGTGAAAAAAAAAGAATACACATTAACAGCTTTAGCAGCTCTGGGAAAGAAACCCAGAGCTGTGAGAAAAATCTTTACAACTGCAAATGCTGACATCAGCTCTTTAAATACGGAACTATTTGCCCTTGAGGCTGACTTAAAAAAAGCAACAACAAATTTAAAACAGTCCAGACTTTTGAAAAATTAACAATTCAGTCTTGTCTTCCTTCACTTCTCCTTACCTTTAGGAAGTCTGGGAAGAAAATCCCGTCACCTAAGACAATCATGTTGAAAATTAGTAATACATATGTAGTTGTCAACACACAATTGAGATATCATCTGCTTCAATTGTCAAATCCAGTAAAAATGGACAGTCAAACGTAAAATGGCCACTTAACATAAGAAACCTCAAGTGGAGGCTTGCTACCATGCCAGGTGGTCTGGCAGTTGTTCTTCTAGTTGACATGCTCAGTTGAGGGTATCATACACAGTTTCCATACAAACTCTCTTTTACACCCCCACAAATACTTTAAAAACACACACACACTCAAGTCTCATTGGCGGCGAATATGAGAAAGAAAAGAATTTGCAGGTAGAAGCAAAGAACACTAACATTTTTTAAGTCATTAGAGGCCAGTCTGGGGTTTCTGGTTTCCAGTTCAGTCTGTGATTCTTCCCCAAGGGGAGGTTAATTCACCTAACAGCTGTGTGTGTTTGTGTGTGTGTGTGTGTGGGTGAGGTACAGAGGGATGTACGAAAGAAAAGCGGGAGGATATCAACTTTAACCATAATTTTTATGTTGTTATCATTCCAAAACAGATTTATTGTCATGCTCTCTGGACAGGAACTGGGTTCCCCTTCACTGACAAACTCAAACTCATACCTCTGATTTGAGCAACGCGTGAACCTAAACGTTTAATAACAAGAAAACATCTATTAATTGCAGGATCTGGTAATTGCAAGATCTCATAATTACGAGATCTTTTCTTATTACAACATGCTAGCATAAACGAGGTGGAAGTAGACTTTTGATTCACAGCTTCTGATTCACGAATGGCATAAAGGGTGATATCACTGCATTTTTCGCATTCTGATCATTCAAAGCAAGGTCCTGTGTGAAAACAATAGTTGCTAATTGTTAATGAATGATAAAATTGAAAATTGTATATTTGGCTCAGGTTTGTCTCCAGTTGCTATTTTACTAGTTATATGATGAAAATAAATTAATAAATCACCTCTACTTGCATTGGTCAGACAGCCAAAGGGGCGCAAAGCTAAGACAGTGTTGTTTTACAGACATCTCAGATCATGTTTATAAAGGAATGAGGAAGATCCTGTCTGCACTCAGATAACATGCAGAAAACATGCAGTTTTTTTTTACTGTGCGAGTCTAGAGTACCCCCAGTCCAAAAACCGTGAATGTTAGGTTGATTGGACATTCCTAATTGCCCTTTTAAGTGAGTGTGTGTGGTTGTTTGCCTTTGAACCCACGCAGACACAGGGAGATCATGCAAGGACCTTTCCACACAGAAAGGTCCTGGTTCCCCCAGGGACTTGAACCCAGAACCCTCTTGCTGTGAGGCCATGGTGAAAATGGGTCTAAAATACAAATCTAACATTTTAATCGCTGATATCAATATATTACCCACAAAATGCAAAATACAATCTACCAACTTCCTTCATCATTGTAGCTCCTGCACAAAAATGTTGCGATACAAGCCTCTGTTTTACAGGTTCATAGTTTAGACTGATGGACTTTAAGGTTTTCCATAGGGTTTCAAATTCTGAATCATTGAAAAAGGAATTTGTAATTCACAACTGAGACTGCAGAGCAACAGTATTGGCTCAAAAGCATTCTTAACAAGTCAGAAAACGGCAATAATGCGCTAAGAAATGTTAGCGCTGCCTAGTGCTAGCTAGTGTTAGCATGGTCCGCCATTTCTGTAGCTGCTAACTTCCCGTCCCAAAACATAAAGGCCTACGTTAACTGGAGTAGTCTACAGATCCTGAGTACTACTTTTGGTGTACAATGTGATGAGTTAGTTGTGATTAAAGACTCTTGAAGTTAAAGTTTTGCCATAATAACACAATTACTACATGGCTTACTCAATGCACAGTTGTACATAAAGTAAATGAGGGAACAATTCTGTTGTTGGATCTTTAGCATGTCAGGCAGAAGCGGAGTGGGTGTGGGAAACGTTGTAAAAATGTGTAACATGGATAATTGTGTAGCATTTTTACAATTGATAAATAAATAATTGCTCAAATCATCTTTACGATGTTTAATGACCCAATGTGGAACCTTCCTCTCTCCCAATGTTTGAATTGGAATAGGAGGGTATGGCAAATGTGTGGATGAATGCTCTTTACCACAATCTCTTATCAACTCATTTCAACTCATACTCAAAAACTGTTCAAATCCGCTGTAGCAAACATGAAAACAGCCATTCTGGTCCACAGAGGGAAGACAGCCCTTTCTTGTGTCATCCACAGGAAGGGAAGAGGTCAAAGGTCAAGTCCAAAACAAAGGCATGGAGTAATTTCAGATTCATGGTTGCTTTCAAGGATGACACAGCAGGAGAGAACAACTTTATGGCATAGAACGTTGAACCTGAGCCTTTAGGCCTATAATGTGGCCAAGGGCACATTAAAAAAGCAAGTTTACTTTACTTAAGGTGGCTCAACAGGAAGGAATTTAGTCATCCATTCCAAGTGACATATTGAAAAGGCAGTTGGTGCATTTCACTAGCTACTGTACATAGCTGTGCAGCAACCCTGAATCGTCATAAAATCCTAAGGGCGAGGTAGGTACAGTATAAACCTGTTCCAGCACAGCTCCTGAACTTTTTATAGGGCAATAAAGGTGTCCAGTCAGCGTCAATCTCTGCTTCCAAAGATTTTGTAACCACAGGTGAAAGCTGCTTTTCTGCTCAACTCTCTTTATTTACACTGTGAAAAGAAATTAAGAGTGTGGAAACAAAACAGAAAAAGGGAAGATTCAGTAAAGAAATAAAGTTTAATAAAGAAAGAGAGGAGAAAAATTAAACAGCTGAGGGTATGGAATTAGAAAAAAACCAAAAGATGTCCCTCAGCTATGAAAACAAGCAACAGCTCCTCTGAGGCTTTCACCTGGCAGAGATAAAGTTTAAAAAATGGTCATATATCCTGCTTATCAGATTCATATGCTTGCCCTTCTGTTTTTCAAAGCCTGAATAAATCAATTCACTGCTTAATATCTTCCTATAGGGTGACACTAGATACTTTGAGTGAGTGTCCTATAGGAAGGCTGATAGCAAAAGATATCTCAGCCAATGTGAATCTTCATTTGTAAAACATTTTTTAGCAGAAACTACTAGGTTTCTTAGATTACTATTAAAAAAAAACAATGTAACATCTAAGAAGCAGATGTTTTCCATTATACCTACCATTTACTCAGTTTAGCATCAGCATTTTTCCTTTCGCGGTCTCCAGTGTGACTGTCCTCATGCATTGAGAAACATGTAAGCATGAGGCAAACATCAGCTAATGATGCGTCACTTTTTGCTGCTGGAAAGCAAAAAGCCAAACTCAAAAACCTGGTGGATACCTTGAAGAATCTCAGTGAGGCGAGAGCATCTTTATGTCAAAAACAGTACCCTGAAAGCCTGCCAAGTCACAGCTGCACTGGTCAAGATAACACATGTCATCAGACCGCCACAATATGATTCCCACATGTTTTTCAAAGCAGGTCTGAAATATCATGTGGTGTCCATATAGACTCATTCAGAAATCTTCCCCAACTCAAGGTGCATTTAATTTATCAGGTGCCAGCACTTTCCGTGAGTAACTGTCCAGGAGGTTAAAAAAATGTTCATGGGGCAAAAATTTTGAGCTGGTAACTTCTTTTCTTTCTCTTCGAGTCACATTTTGATCATAAGGTGAGCAAACTTGGTTGGAAACTCCTCAAAAAGTTTTGCTCGAACTTTCCCAAAGGCCCGATTGCTTTTAGAATTTTTCTTTTCGAGAGTTGGTTGTAATTACGACAAAAATCTTTTTTATGTTTTACAAGAAGCTCAAATGCCTCATGAGGTTTTCCCAAGTCTTTGTAGGACTCAGTTTATGAGGATCCCAATTAGTTACAGCATTATGGCAGCTATTCTCTCTTACAAGCTCTGTTTTACCTCCTGCTCCTAATCACTGATGGCCGGTGTCTCTTAAGACCGAGCTGTGCATGTAGTAAATGCACAGTGATGTATTTATGCCGTGTGTCTACTTGCCCGAGATGCTCTTTGGAAACATGACTAAAAACTTTGACAAAGGATCTGCTCAGGATACCTGCATTTCCTCAATAAAATTAGTGTAATGCAACTTTATCCTGAACACATTATTTCATTATATAAATATTTAATGTTTTAGATGCTACTTTAACATGCATAGTTTTTGTGGTTTATGTAAATTTTTCTTTGGCTCAGTCCAGTTTTCCTGTCGTTGCTCACAAAAACAAAGGCAAAAAAAGATGCACTACACTTTTAATTTCACTAAACAGAAGTTGACAAACAGATTGAATAGAGGAATACAGTCAGATGCCAAAAAGGGATTGAAAAGGAAGCATCATTTTCAAAGAGAAATTTGATTATTTTGCACTGTTAAAATACAGGAATGTTTCTAAATCTTTGGAAGTCTTTTTACTTTTTCTATAAAAAATTACAAATGATTTGACATGCAGCTAAATAGAGATGAAGCCATTATTCATAGCACTGCTAGAAAACAACTTTCGATTAATTCGAACTCAGCAGTAAACAAGATTTTTTAAATTAGAAACAGACAAATAAATACAACCTAACATGGTTTTAAAGGTCTCATAATGCAAAACTACAAGAGACTCACCTGGAAATTCTGCGGAGCAAAAACACCCTCACAGAAAAAACAAAACAAAGTGAAAAACAAAGTCCTTAAACTCCTGAAAAAGATGTCAAGTTTTACAAGAGAAGCAGGAGTAAAAAAGTATCCAGTTGCTGTTTTAGTCCTGTTGATGTTTGCTGACCAAGGTCCCGACGTCTGCGAGGAGAAAGCGTGAGAGGAGATGGAGTGCTTTCCCCCTGTGTGTGTGTGTGTGTGTGTGTGTGTGTGGATTAGTTTGACCCTCCGTTGGTCCCTAAGGCATCTGGATTTCAGATTAGCTGCTTTTCCACTTTCCCGTCCTGTTCTGTTGACCGTGCAGTCTGGAATGCTCCTCCATCCCCTTCTATGCTCCTTCCCTCACCTCCTCCATTCATCTCCTCTCTCACTCCCTCTAAAAAAACTCCTCTCCACTTCACACACGCAGCCCCGGCGGAAACATTATAGTCGTCTTTTCTTTCTTTGCCGCTCCTTTGTGTGTCCTTTTCGCTTCTCTCCTTCCCTTTCTTTTCCCCCCCTCTCTTTGCCTGGATTTCTCTTAACAAGTTTTCACCTTTCCAACCCTCCCACGCAGTTCCTCCCTTCTTTTTTTTCCTCTGAGGTACAAGTACAGCGTGTGAATACAGAATAGTCAATTATGATAATCTGAACATCGATATTAAGCATATGCCTGCAGCTACTCCCATATACTTAGCTTTTTTTGGCAGGCTGTCAGATGTATTCATTTGATCTGCGGGGTTTAGCTTTACACTCAATCAAACAGGATGAGTTTTTAACTGAAAAATTGTCCCACAAGCCTCAAAAACGTATTCAAAGCACAGTTGGTGCTAAAAAAATTTAACTGGCTGGTGTCCTGTATAGGCTGAGCACAAGTGGTAGACATATTGTCCATTACAGATTTGATCTTGTTGGTACCACCACATGGAAACACTCAAGTTACTGACCTGCTCATGTGTCACTCCAAATAAGTCTTAAATAAAAAGGCCTTTTGTAAAGGAGCCCTTTTGTTATTGTGCCCAACCTCGCATTTAACCTTTTGTTTGGTTTACTTTACCCGGCAAACAGAGAGAGGAGGCCATTAATGTGCGATTTACAAGTGCAAGCTTGTTAAATATGTAGCGAAAGCTTGTTGATTCACTTAGTCTTTATTGGTCTTTTGTTTTCGCTTCCACCCGCCGCATTAGGAGGACTTAAAATGTTTGTGTGTACGTAATCTGGCAACTGTTGTCCGAAATCTCAATGCTTCAGAAATTGTAAAATGGAATGCACCCATCCAACATGTAACTATGGAGCAGGAAAACATGAACAGTGCAGCAGTTTGGGGAAAACAAATAAAGATTTAGCAAAAGTTGAAGAAAAGACATCGTTGTCTCATCTTTTCTTGTTCTGTCTAGGAGGCATGGGCTTGGTTGGGCTAATTTGCTTTTTTGGTCATTTTTTTACCGTTTAGTGGACAAATCATTGTGAACAAAGATCTTCTTACCAATGAAATAAAATAAAGTAAATATATTCAATGCAGCAGCAATATTGTCTGTGTTTGGAACTATAATTGTATGCTTTTTAATCCATAGATCTGCCTTAAGATGGTTAGCATATGACATAAATGTTGCATGAAGTATTGTGGAACAAGTAAGGGTCCTGCACAAAAAAGGTAGAAACAGTTAATCGGAAAACGTAAAGAACTCGCAGAACACAAGTGGGTGTGGTGCTTTAAAGTTGAATCAGTAACAATCTGCTTTTTTTTATAAATAAAGGATCGCAAGACATCCCAAAAGAAGAAGTCAGTGCCTAAACTGAGCAAGCGGGTGGTTGCTGTGGTCAGATGGGATGCATGGGTTTTTTTGTTGTAGATTTAGAAAAGAGGAGAATTCCTCTGGAAATTACCAAAATAAAATAAATAAGGAAGGCGCAAACAATGGAAAAAAATAAGAAAATGATACGAAAAGTTACATTTTTAGCACAGTTTCTGACTTGAGCACTGGTTTTGGAGTTTTCGCAGCATGTCCTCAGAACTGGGCAGAACTTTTTATTTTGCAGGGTGTGCAAGAACTGAAAGACAGAATGATGCTACAGTTCTGAGCAGAACCAGCGGAAACACAACCAGATCAGTCTGGTGCTCAGGTCCCTGCTCCGGCCTCCTGTCACTCAGAGAACAGACTTCAAAAGAGCTCTGCTTGTGTCCAAATGTCTTCGTGGTCTTGGGCCGAAGTACATTTCTGACTTTTTAGAGCCGTATGAACCAGCTCGGACTCTGAGAACCTCAGGTTCTGGTCTCCTGCTGGTGCCCAGAATCAGGACCAAACAAGGAGAGGCTGCATTTCAGTTTTGTGTTCCTAAAATCTGGAACAGACTTCCTGAAGAGGTGACACAGACCTCAACTCTGACAATGTTCATATGAAGGCTGAAAATTCTCCTGTTTACCTGTGCAATTAATAAAGGAATGTTTTTTTTATCTTTATTCTTCACTTTTTATCTATTTAACCAATGATTGTTTTATATTATTTTTTTTCTGCTTGTAAAGTGTTCATAAACTACTTTGTGTTCTTGTCCTGTACAAGAAATGTGCTACACAAATAAACTTGCCTGGCCTTGCTTTGTTGTCTGATGGTCAGACTTTTATCAGTAGGCATGGTCACCCTGCGGTCGCACTGTTCTGTGAGCTCCCAGCATCTTATCTTCAGAGTGACTTTTGGCAGAAATCATCAAAGTTTGTGTGAGTGTGTGCTGGATGTACGGTCGTCTTAACAAGTGGCCAACATCCTCACGTTCGCTCCTAGGGGGAATTTAGAGTGTCCAGCGGGAGGAAGCCGGAGTACCCCACTCAGACAAAGGGGGAATTTGCAAACTCCACACCAAATAGTCCTGAACCGAAACCTTCCAGTAGCGCTACACCTACGTGAATATATTTTAAAATATTTTTTAAGAGTCTGATACGTAAGCCAGGAATCTGACATCCCTAAGCTTTCTCTCTCTCATCACTCGTTCCCTATTTCAGGCGTACATGACCGCACACATGCAAACACACTCTTCAGTCACCAGCTCATCACACAGATATAAAGTGTTCCAGGAGCCAAGTCTCACTGGCACTCCTGTGCAGGCTTTTTTTTCCTTCTTTTTTCTTTTTGTGGAACCACACAAATTAGATCATTCTAAACATTAAGAAATACTTGTAAGCCGGTTTGTACATGCTCAAGACTGAGACCACCACGTACCCACATCTCATTGTGTTTTACTGTAGAAGACTCTTTTTGCTTGTTCGACTTTCAGCTGAAAGTTCAGGGTTCGGCGGTGTTATTCAGTCTTACCTTTTGTTTGATTCTCTGGTGACCTCCTCCTCTTTTCTTGGCTCTGTAATCCCCCTAAAATCAGAAGCCCTCTTTCACACACACTCTCTCTTTGAGCTCCATCTGCCCTACGGAAAGCTGCCCTCACATGCTCGTACTTTCTTTATCCTATATTGTAGTCTTGACTGGGAAGCAGATTTCAGACCATCCCTTTGATATGAAGTCCTGTTTATTTGTTGTAGCTATGGTGAATGGGATATTCGGGGGGATTAGATGCTTGTTGACTGTAGCTCAGCTCATGTCTTGACTCAGCTGGTACCCCTTAGTTCTGCACGGACATTTCTGTAGGATAATCGACTAAATATGAGGCTGAGTTATCCTAAAAGCGACGAAAGAGGAAAAATGCATGCAACCCAGTTGGAAATGTTGGAAAAAAAACAAGGCCTTGGTTTAGGAAAATTCACTTAAGAGCTAGTTCTTTTTCACTTAGACATTTAAACGTGGACATCTTTTATTATGGTACTTCTTACTCCTTCAAAAACAAAACTACGTCTTCTTAAATTAACAAACAATCTGGAAAATGTCAACACAACGTGCACTTTTTCCCCCAGTTTGTAACTGATTTAAAGTGCCCAGCCTTTAGAAACAGTATGTGCAAACAACACGATAGCAACCAAACATAACAAATGCTAACTCCTGCTTAAAAGCAGAAATCCTAAACTACAGCCCTGATTTTGCTGATCGCGCGTTTCTGTCCACACATGAAAATTTTTAGGAACTTGATTTTAAGCAGAAAGGAGACTTTAAATTGGATTTTTTTAATACAGGTGGAGGAGTGGTGGAAGGTTGACGACCCAGAATGCAAAAATACCAGGGAGGTTAGGCCCTAATGATATAAGAAAACATTTAGTGGAATAACAACTAACTACTAAACAGCAACCAGAACTATAGGATGAAAACAAACCTACTAAAAAAACACCCAGAAAAGAGACACAGACTGACGACATCGAACAGGAATACACACACACAGGTTGCCTGATAGGGAAGAACAGAATAATATATACTGAAAGGATCTAATAAACACGTTAAAGCAATGAAACCAGGGATGACGAAAGAACAGAAAAAGAAGCTGAATTCAATGTTATTTTTATTGCTAACAAAGTTAGTTTTATTTATGACAGCTGACGGTGTCAATGATCTGTTCTGTTGTCACAAAGTTGACTATATCTAATTCCAGTTTTCCTCAAAATATCTTGAGATAACTGGTCGCAGTATTTCACCTTAAGTCTGTTAAAGACGTGACGGGTCGCAGTTTTTTCCACTGGCTTTCTGTTTATCATCGGTTTCACGGCGCCTCTCTGGTTGACTCTGCTTCCAGATCTCTCTCAGAGCGTTATTAAGTCCAGCTGTGTTGAACCGTCGGCCGGGACGGGATCAGAGACAGCAGGAACCAAAGCACCTGCATGTCTGTCATCGCTCCCTCTGTCCAGCTGTCACACACATCTCCATCTTGAATTTTCCTCACGCTGCCAACATTCCAACTGGTTGATAAATAATACTTGTATACAAATACACTATTTTACTTTAAAAACATGACAATTTCTTGATTAACATATCAAATTCTATTTATATACTTGTATTTCTCGACGGAAAAGATAGTTTTAATGTTCGAATGTTGGATGCATTGTGAGAATTCGTTTTGAAATCCTATTTACTTCAAAATAGTAAAACACTGAGAGCTTAGTGCAAATGAATAAAGACAACTGAATTAAAGCTGTGAATAATGCTGATTGGTCTCAGAGGCTAAATGTAAGATGTAAAGTTTACTCAGTAAGGTCAGTATGCTTTGGGGTTTATTGCAGACAGCAGAGGTTTCAAAATCAGCCAGGAAAGAGGCAGGAAACCAAAGTTAACTGAAGCAGATGGCAGACATTTTAAGATCTGAAGGAGCACAGACAGAAGGAAGACCACTGCTGATCTTCAGGCAGATATTAATGCTTCTAGATCAGAGTTTGAGAAAGTCTCCAGAATGAGCAGAAGCAGAATGATGGGAGAAGGCTTAAAAGGAAGAATAGCTGCTAAGAAGCCATGAC